TAAAAAGAGGAATTTTTGCTTTAGTAACACTAGTTATTGTGTTAAAGTGCTTAATAAAAATTGATAAAAAATATCAACAAACTTATTTTTGTTTACTGCAAATACATTTGAGGATTTGAAAGACAAGAATGGGCGAGGCAGTGGCGCAGTAGGTATTGCTGTCGCCTTACAGCAAGAAGGTCGCTGGTTCGAACCTCGGCTCTGTTGGCGTTTCTGTGTGGAGTTTGCATGTTCTCCTTGCCTTCGCGTGGGTTTCCTCCGGGTGCTCCGGTTTCCCCCACAGTCCAAAGAAATGCGGTATAGGTGAATTGGGTAGGCTAAATTGTCCGTAGTGCATGAGTGTGTGTGTGAATGTTTCCCAGAGATGGGTTGCGGCTGGAAGGACATCCGCTGCGTAAAAACTTGCTGGATAAGTTGGTGGTTCATTCCGCTGTGGCAACCCCGGAATAATAAAGGGACTAACCCGACAAGAAAGTGAATGAATGAATGAATGAAAGACAAGAATGAGTGATAACAGATTAATGCTGTGTTCACACCAGACACACGGATAAGCCGTGTCTGAGTCCACTAGATCTTTTCAGAGGTGCATCCAGCTCTGTGAGCTCATAAACTCCTCCAGAAACTTAACCCCTGGATGATGGAGGCATTCAGCGGTGCTTCTGACTGAGTTTGATGAACTGGTGTCGGCTGGAGGATTTCCTCCGGGTCACCAACAACAGGCGCTATGTCACAATCACGCCCCCACAAGAGCAAGCTCCTGATTGGATAATACGGCGCAAATGTCCGTTTAAGTTCAGATTTTTGAACTCGAGTGATTTGCGTAAAATGTGCGTTAAGCTCAGTTTGTGATGCGCTATTCGTGCATATCGTGCCATTCGTGCCGTGTCATTCGCACGTATCGCGGCGCAGTATGTCTGTTTGTGCGTTTGGATTGACTTAACATGTAAATCACTCACGCTTGATGCTCCTTCCGCATCTGGTGTGAACACAGTATAAAGCTTTAAAAGGCAAATAAATAATATCATACAGATGATTTGTTTGCTAAACTCACTCAATTAATTGAAAATTGGCTGAAATGTGTTTATAGCTAAATCACTAATAACATTTGTTTCTGACCTGCTGTATCCACACAACCAGCTTTGTCAAAAAACAAGTTTTCATTGAGAGGTTCCTTATGCTGTAAAAATGTTTGTGCGTGTTAAAAATGAAGTTTTTATTATATATTTTTTTCAGGTTTTAAATGAAAAGTTAGAGGTTCAATGTTCAGAACTGAGCTCTGCACTTCACGCATTAACTCAGGAAAATGCCAAACTACAGTCTGAATACCAGAACAACATCAAGGTACAGTATTTTCATTCATTCATTCGCTTTCTTTTGGCTTAGTCCCTTTAATAATCTGGGGTCTGCCACAGCTGAATGAACTGCCAACTTATCCAGCATATGTTTTACACAGCGGATGCCCTTCTAGCTGCAGCTGATGACTGGGAAACACCCATACACTCTCATTCACACACATACACTACGGACAAATTTAGCTTACCCAATTTACCAGTACTGCATGTCTTCGGACTGTCGGGGAAACCCACTAGAACACAGGGAGAACATGCAAACTCCACACAGAAATGCCAACTGACCCAGCCGAGGCGTGAACCAGCGACCGTGCTGTGAGGTGACAGTGCTACCTACTGTACTTTCCAGATTTGCATATTCTTATTGCCAAAACCTTTTTATTTAAGCTGAACCAGATTTATTATCATTTACTGACTGGAGAAATTATTCAATAAAACAACATTAGTTCAGTGTATAAAATATGAAAGCAAAAGATAATAATTAATATAATTAAGAACAGCAATTACAATAAGGTTGTATAAGTTAATGTTCATGTATTTCACTAACATGAACAAAACATTTTTTTATTACAGTATTTTTTAATCTTTGCTAATGTTAGGTAATCTAATGCAGTTGTTTATTGTTAGTTTATGGTAACTGATGTAAATGAGCACAACATTGCAATATTAATAATGCATCAGTAAATGTTGAACGAGGATTGTTGTTAGAAGTATTGTTCTGTATGAGTTCTGTATATGTTAGTAAATATATTTAAGTGGACCTGTTATGCAAAAATCACTTTTATAAGGTTTTTTTTAACAATTTTGTGGCAAAAATCTGTGAATATAATCAGCTGCTAATAGTAATTATTTCTAATTGATAAAAACTGTCTGCAGAAACACTTTGATTGACATTCTCTCTTTTTATGTGTCATCAGAGAGAAAGCCCCGCCCATTAGTGACCATCTCTCTCTCATTAGCATATTACATTAGTCTTGTTTTTAGTCTGCCACTATGCTAACATGTTGGTATTTGTAGCTCCGCCCTCTTTTAAAAAGTGCTCAATCTCATTACAATTTAAAGTGACGGTCACCAAAATGGCACAGTTAGGATTAAAGTCTAAAAGGGTCAGTATCACAGAGTTATAAAACAGTATTTGTGTGGTATTTTGAGATGAAACTTCATATACACTCTCTAGGGCACAGGTGTCAAACTCCGTTCCAAAAGGGCCGCAGCTCTGCACAGTTTAGGTCCAACTCTAATTAAACACACCTGATCAAACTTATTGAGTCCTTCAGGCTTGTTTGAAACCTACAGGTAAATGTGTTGGAGCAGGGTTGGAACTAAACTGTGCAGGGCTTCGACTCTCCAGGAATTAAGTTTGACACCCCTGCTCTAGGGTCATCAGAGACTTATTTTACATTTAGTCAAAAGGGGCATAATAGGTCCCCTTTAACTAATGAAACCTTATTGTCAAGTGTGACTGTGTAAAGGCAAAGTTTCTTTAAGGCAAGTCATTTCACTCGGCGGCCATCTTTGAAACACCTCTAAGGCAGTATGCTCAGGAATTCTGTCTGAATGGTGAAACATCAAATTCACCAAAACTGCTTGCCAAGCTGATGATTGAATTTCCTATTAGGAATCACCAATGAGATTAAACAACATCTGTCCATTTAGTTTCATTTCTAAACCTCCAAATCACACAAAATCTGCAAAAACTCACGTCTAGTCCGAGCCCCTCCCCCAGAGTATCGTCAGTTTTTATTGATCGATGATTGATTGGCTCCTGTACTAGAAGGCGGGCTTTTTTTTAACCTTATAGCGATCGATGATTGGCTACTGTTCTAGTAGATTGGGCTTTATTTACATTATTGACAGTTATTCTTTTCCCCCATTTAAAAAGAAACGAGTCACATGCCTTGTGTATTCTATAGTCCTTGGTAAAGGTTAAAAATGGCAGTTTGCTTTGAACAAAGTTGATCAATGAAAGTTTTACATTTTTTCTAATTGTTCAGGCAGAGCGGGATCGTGTATCTAAACACCTCAAGGAGCAGGATCTGCTTTTAGACACAGCCAGGAGGAACATCCAGGCTGAACTACAGAGAGCCATAACAGAGAAACTCTCCCTGCAGAAAGAGCTGTGAGTCACACGCACACCTTTACTACTGCAGATCACACACAGCTGGAGGATCACGACCCACAGCAGGCCAGAGACAAACACTTCCTACAACACATGTTGATCCAAACAGACGCTGTATCCAAGCAGGATTTGGGCTAAAGTTCATGCCACCTGTAGATTATGCAGATGGAAACATGTTGCTCATCTTTAAAAACACGGCACAAAACTACACTGAATACTTGATAAAAACAGTCTGTAGAAACACTTTGATTGACATTCTCCTTTTGTACGTGTCTTCAGAGAGGGAAAGCCCCGCTCATTAGAGACCATCTCTCCCTCATCAGCATAGGACGTTATTCTTGGTTTTGAATCTGCCTCTGAGGCATTTGTAACTCCGCCCTCTTTTAAAAAGAGCACAATCTCATTTGAATTTAAAGCGATAGTCACCAAAATGGCACAATTAGAATCAAAGCCTAAAAGGGGCAGTTTCAAAAAAAAAACTTACTGGATAAGTTGGCGGTTCATTTCGCTGTGGCGACCCCGGATTAATAAAGGGACTAAGCCGACAAGAAAATGAATGAATGAAAAGGATTATGACTTTCAATAGTATTACAGCATAATAATATGAGTATTACTGTGAGTGTTTATTAATGCTGTTTGTTGTTCACTTTTAGCATCTGACAGAGTATTTGGAGCTGGAAACTGATAAATGTGATGATAGATTTAACAAAGCGGATTGTGTTTTAAAGGGAGACGCTGAAGGTGGAACATTCCAGACTGCAGCAGAGTTCTGTGTTTTCCCAAGAAACAGCTGTCAATCATCTGCAGATGCTGGAACAGACCATTGAGAGGCTGAAGGGGGAGATCGGCAGTGCTGTGAGAGATGGAGAGATGCTGAGAGAGGAGAGAGATCACATACACAGTCAAGTGAGTCCAGTGGATATTTTTACTGACAATAATAAAACATGGGAATGGAAAAATTTTGAGACAAATTTAAAAAAAACAGTTTCTGTTTATTTGTATGGTTCCATTTAACTAATTAAACAAGACAATATTTTTTAAATCTCAGTGATGCTGAAATAAAACTGCTTCAGCACTACCATTAAGATGTTTATTTCACATGTTGCTGTTAACAGTTTTACATTTTAACAGTAAAAACACAGTACATCACAATCAAATATGAGCCATTATTTTAATATACTTCTGTTTTCCGATCTCAGATGAGCTCTGCAGTCTGTTTGCTTGAAAAGGAGAAGAACATCCTAGAAACACAGCTGACAGAAATCAAGGTACATCTGACCAGATATGTGGTCATTTTCACTAGTGCATTCAATAAATTTAAGTTTCTTTTTCATTTCCCTAATTTTTTATTTCTTTTTTTTATTAAGCATATACTCAAATAACAGTAAGAACATGACATGTAAACAGGGTATCAGCAGGGTCTTAAAAAGTATTTAAATGTCTTAAATTTCAAAAACTAAATTTTAGTTTTTAGTTAGAGTCTTAAAGGTGAAGTAGTGGCGCAGTAGGTATTGCTGTTGCCTCACAGCAAGAAGTTCGCTGGTTCGATTCTCGGCTCAGTTGGCCTTTCTGTGTGAAGTTTGCATGTTCTCCCTGCGTTCGCGTGGGTTTCCTCCGGGTGCGCCGGTTTCCCCCACAGTCCAAAGACATGTGGTACAGGTGAATTGGGTAGGCTAAATTGTCCATAGTGTATGAGTGTGTGTGAGTGAGTGTTTGTGGATGTTTCCCAGGCATGGGTTGCAGCTGGAAGGGCATCCGCTGCGTAAAAAAAAAACGCTGGATAAGTTGGCAGTTCATTCCGCTGTGGCGATCCCAGATTAATAAAGGGACCAAGTCGACAAGAAAATGAATGAAAGTCTTAAATTCACTGAAATAGTGTGTTGTAGGTCTTAATCAATTTAAACAGGTCTCAATTTTCTATGTCCATGTAAAGCTACCCAATCAGACAAACACCCATCCAAACACTGTCATTCCATCTCAATAAAAAAAGTTTTAACAAATGTTTGTTTACCAACTCTATTTATATTTTCTATTATGAAACATATGGTTTAATTATCTTCCTTACAATAACATTTGTTTTTAACTGTGCCATTAGAAAAACTTCTTAATATTTAGCCTTGTTTAAGTCTGAAATTTCATTCATAATGGACCTTAAAAAAGGTCTTAATGTCTTAAATTTGACTTGGTAAAAGCTGTAGAAACCCTGTGTGAAATATATAGTATAATCTGTTGGTTTTATACATACAGAATAATAATGGACTACAGTTATGTAAACAACCATAATATTACTCTCATCACAACCTAAATCGACCCCACAAACATTAAAAAAAAAATTAAAAAGAATAAAATAAAGTAAATAATAATATAAAAAAATTCACTTTAATTAATAAAATAATAATTATAAAAAGGGCCTGGGGTGAATTTCAATTTCTACACTGATTTTTATTTCTTCTGGATATAAAATGGAGCTATTTTCTCTTACCTACTAATAATAACCTTTATTTAACCAGGTAAGTCAGTTGAGAACCAGTTCTCATTTACAATGATGACCTGGCCAAGAGGCAACATAAAAAGCAGATACGAAGCAGCAGGGACACCATACAATAGCAATTTCACAGATGCAGATAATAACATAATATAAATAATAACATATAAAAAAGAAAAATTAAAAACAGGCACAGTGATCTCGTACTATTAACTGGATTAAATTTGTAAAGGATGATAGTGGAATAAAAGAATAAAATTGTTGAGCTTTAAGGTCTGCTGCAGATGATTTCAAGCATCAGCTGCAGAAAACTGAAAAGAGTAGTGCAAACTTTGGGTAAGCAAAGGTTAATAAAACTACTAGAGCACAGATTTCAACATGTTTTCTGAATAATAAGAAATGACTGATAATACACTCACAGGCCACTTTATTAGGTACACCTTACTATTACAGGGTTGGACCTCCTTTTGCCTTCAGAACTGCCTTAATCCTTTGTGGCATAGATTCAACAAGGTCCTGGAAATATTCCTCAGAGATCTTGATCCATATTGACATGATCGCATCACGCAGCTGCTGCAGATTTGTCAGCTACACATTCATGAAGGGAATCTCCCGTTCCACCACATCCTAAAGGTGCTCTATTGGACTGAGATCGGCTGACTGTGGAGGCCATTTGAGTACAGTGAACTCATTGTAATGTTCAAGAAACCAGTGCTAGATGATTCGCGCTTCATGACATGGCACGTTATCCTGCTGGAAGATGGATACATTGTGGTCATAAAGGGATGGATATGGTACCAACAACCATACCACGTTCAAAGTCACTTAAATCACCTTTCTTCTCCATTGTCTTGACCATGTCTACATGCCTAAATGTATTGAGTTGCTGCCATGTCATTCGCTTGTAAGAAAATTGCCTTAACGAGCAGTTGTACCTAATAAAGTGGCCGGTGAGTTTATATTTTAACCCAAATCAACCCCAGAAAAATTTAAAGAAAAAAGATATATAGAAAAAATATATAATAATAATAACAGGGGGGGGGGGTGAATTTCAATGCATACACTGATTTTTATTTCTTCTGGATATAAAATGGAGTTATTTTTGCATATAAACTGACTTTTATGATTGAAATGCTACACCAGCAAACACCATAAACATGCTTTTCCCCTGTGATTGACAGGCGGAGTTGACCACGGTGAACTCAGCACTGCAGAAACAGACGGAGGAGAACAAGGAGCTGATGGAGAGCCTGGCAGCCATGGAGCATCAGCAGGTTTGAGATCAAAAGATCAGATGCACGTCAAGAAAGAAAAAGCTTGTAAATCTGCTTCTCTCTCGCTGTCAGGTCACTCATCGTCAGGTTGAACAGATGCTCTGGGAGATGACGGATGGCAAGAACAAACTGGCCTACGAGAAGGGCAAGTTGCAGGTCTGTTTGTGTGTGGATTTGTCGCACATATTTTGCACAGCATGACAGTCAACATGTTGCAGAAACACTTCAGACTTCAAGTAAACAGACTGTTTGTGTGTGGGTTTGTGTGTGCGTTTACTCAGGCACGTGTGCAGCAGATGGCCGCTGAACTGAAGACATTGAAAGCAGAATGTGCTCAACACTGTCAGACCAAAACTGCACTGGAGAACAGTTACACGCAGGTAAAACACACACACACGCACTTGTGCAGCATCTTTTTTTGGGACTTCCCAAAGAGGTAATGATTTATATACTGTACTAACTGTACATTAAATCATTCATTCATTCATTTTTCTTTGGCTTTAGTCTCAATTTGAGAGGTTTCCACAGAAGCATGAACCACCAACTATTCTAGCATATGTTTTACGCAGCGGATGCCCTTCCAGCCACAAACCAACACTTGGAAACACCCATACACTCTCTCATTCACACACTAATTTGGGCCAATTTAGTTCATTCAATTCACCTGTAGCGCATGTCTTTTGGGGGAAACCAGAGCACCAGGAGGAAGCCCACGCCAACACAGGGAGAACATGCAAACTCCGCACAGAAATATCAACTGACCCAGCCTGGACTCGAACCAGCGATCTTCTTGCTGTGAGGTGACAGTGCTAACCACTGAGCCACCATGCTGCACCTCTCTGCATTTTTCTTAATACTTTTGTGCAACATTTATGAGCTGTTTTCATAATATGGACTAAATAAATGTCTCACAACGTTACTATACTTGTGGGGACATTTGTGGAGACCGAAAAAAGGCACACAGATACACACAGATAGACTTGTTCCTACTTCCCTGTGGGGACTCTCGTAGACGTAATGATGTTTTTATTATACTTACAGTATATTCTATCCCCCAACCCTACCCCTAAACCTGTGTGATTTGTAAGCATGTTTACCTCAGTTTAAGTCACCACTGGGATATAAAAACAAGAACTGACACACACACGCTTCTCTAAGTAACTAACAAAACTTCTCGCTAAGGTGTTTGTGTGTGAAATTGAAAATGATATGCAGAATAATAGGGTGGCGGGGTGGCTCAGTGGTTAGCACTGTCGCTACACAGCAAGTAGGTCTTTGGTTCGAGTCAGTTGACATTTCTGTGTAGAGTTTGCATGTTCTCCTTGTGTTAAAATAGAGTTGGAGGAACTAAACTGATTGTAAATACTGTTTCATTTAAATAAATAAATAAATGAATAACTCATTAAATGCTACAATTGAATTTAAACTTCATTCATTAATTTTCCTTCAGTTTAGTCCCTTATTTATCAGGGGTCGCCACAGCGGAATGAACCACCAACTATTTCAGCAAATGTTTTACGTAGCGGATGCCCTTCCAGGCACAACCCAGTACTGAGAAACACCCATACACTCTCACATTCACTCACACACTACTGCTAATTTAGTTTATTCAATTCACCTATAGCGCATGTCTTTAGACTGTGGGGGTAACCGGAGCACCCGGAGGAATCCCACACCAACACGGGGAGAACATACAAACTCCGCACACCTTCTTGCTGTGTGGCGACAGTGCTAACCACTGAGCTATGATGCCATCACATATAGACTTCATAATTGACAATATAAAACGCATCAATTTTAATATTTGCTAGAGATTACATCTACAGGGCTATTTAATTATTAAAGTACTTTCAATGAGCGTTAGATGACAACAAATGGAAATAAAGAATAGAGAGCTTAACTTTCACAATTTCAAAGCTAGTATCGATCACTTCTAATGTCATCATGCTAATATCAGAAACCAAATCATTAATATTAGACCATCCATATTTAATAAAGTACATCCAGTGCTCATAATCTTGGTCTACTGAGTCACGACAAAGCAATCCAAGCAGAACAGAAGATCTCTGCGTCACATTTCAGTGCAGATTGGTTTATACATCTGTCACAATAAAAACTGTTTTTATTGAATGATGGATCATTTCAAAACTTTGCTGTTGAGTCAAGCGCAAAACAGTGATATAAAACAAAATGATGGCTGTTTTTTTTGGCACCAAAAGCTTAAGAATATTATGTAATAAATAATATATGATATGACCCTTTCAACAAGTGAACTGCTGAATATTTAACGCTCTCATTCTCAAGACGCAGAGGGAAAATCAGGCACTGAAAGATCAACTGCAGCAGCAGCACAGAGACATGGTGAGTTTGTCAAAACTGAACATGCATCAAGAAAAGATCACATTTTTATGACCGAGTTTGTGCTTTATGTGTGTACAGAATGAAGTAGCACAGACTCTGGAGAACGTCTTGTCGTCTCACACACATCTACAGCACAACACACAAACACTGAATGCAGAGCTCAGAGAAACAGCAGAGGAAATGCAGACCCTCAGGAGAGAGAGGTGTGGGGTTTTATTGTTTATTACACTGTGTTACCACTTTTAAAGGTTAGGTCTAAGGGTTAAAGAGTTAACATTTAGTTTGTGATTTATTTTGTGTAGAAGAGAACAAGATGACAATAAATTTGCCTGTAAATAATTGCATGTATTTACCAAATTGAAGGAATCTAAATAGTTAAAACATATACAGTTGACCTCAAAATTATTAGCCCTCCTGTAAATTTCTTTTTTAAGTATTTCCCAAAGGATGTTTAACAGAGCAAGGAATTTTTCACAGTATTTACTATAATATTTTGTTCTTCTGGAGAAAGTCTTGTTTTATTTCAGCTGGAATAAAAGCAGTTTTAATTTTAAACTAATTTAAGGTAAATATTATTAGCCTCCTTAAGCAATATTTGTTTTTATTATCTTGAGCAGTAGTTCGGGGTTGGGACTTTCGTAAATTCGACGTCTCATCAATTAGAAATTATCAGACAGGAGGTTTTAAATATCAGACAATAGACTTTATTCTCCATAATAAAGCCGAGAAAGAGCAGAGCAGACCTCATAGCATTCTCCTCCTGCTCCTTCTGAAGTATCTGTGTTTGTTACAATTTTTATACAGGATTATTTGACACACCCCTAAGTCTCTTTTTAACTCTTGACCATTTTTGAATAGGTTTTTAGTCTAAGGGGTCCTGCTATTCTTGGCTCTCAGCCCACTAGCTCATGTCAACAGAGATGTTACAGGTCTATGTCAGCAAAGTATAGATGCAACTTATGCAAAGGAACTAAGTGTTTACATACATTGTTATGATAGGATAATAACTTGATAATATGTTACTCATTCTAACTTCTGACACATATAGCTTCATACATATATGATCAGTGCTTTACATATTCAGTTATTCTACACAATCAGTCACTCAGCCTTCTCCTAGTGTTGCTCCTGTGCAGGCATAATCATCTTACACAGTATTTTTAACACACACTGGCATGTTTGCTGCAAACACTACATACATTTTGTGAAGAGAAAATTAACTGCTTTACACTTAGAAAATACTTCACACTGAGAGAATAGAAATCTTCAGGACCCACTGGGAGGTCGCTGGACAATGACAAGGGATCGCTTAGTGGTTTCCAAAAGTTAAATAAATTTTATTAAACTATTAGAATGACTATATTTTATCAATAACTCACAGATAATAAAAATAGTCATCTTTATTAGTAAAAAAACTACAACATGCAAATGAAAAGCCATCAGCCTTTAATTAATTTATTTTTTTATAGGTTTGGTGTGTTTACGTTAGATAAACAACACCGTAATAAGAAGCAAGCATGCTTGCATGTTTGGTGTATTTGTTGGCTTTTAGACTTCCATTATATGTCTATCATTATAAACACAGTTGTATTTGTTTTCACACCAGTGGTTATGAGCAATGTGTTGTGTTTGTTTGTCAGACTGGAGGCTATGCAGGAGATTCAGAGACTTGAAGATAAGGTTGAGAATCACAATGCAGCAAACACAGAGAAGGTAAAACACACACACACACACACACACACACACACACACACACACACACACACACTATTAAAAATAAATGTGATTAAAGATTTTTAAGTGCTTGCATGTTTAATTGTTGTAGGTTGAATCTTTACAAAAAGCACTTGATGAAGCTCAGCTGGACAACAGGAAACTTGGCCAGAGTTTAGAGCAGGCTTTACAGGAAAACCACAACACACGGCAGAAACTAAACACTGTTGTCGAGAGGTAAGAGAATGGCAGTTAATTGTGTATTGCAAACAGTATGGTTTAACCTGCTGAGAAAGCATTATTCTGCATATTTTTGTTGCTGTTGTTCAATATTAACAAATTAAAAATGTTAAAAAATGTAAGCATAAAAGTCTGATAAATACTGAACTGTTTTTAAACATTGAACTTGAATTATTGCTATTTAAATATTAAATACAAATACGGAAAGTATGATTTTTTTAATATTTAGTAATGGCTGATAAATATGCAATATTAACAAATTAAAAATGTGGAAAATTTTAAGCACCCTCTAATTCGGATTTAAATACTCAACTGTTTTTAAATATTTAAACTGAATTTTTTTTTTTTTTTAAATATGTAAATAAAATGTGGTAAATCAATATGTTTTTTTTTTTATATTGAGTGTTGGTTGGTTTATATGCAATATTACCTAATTAAAAATGTTGAAATAAATGTAGGAATCATAAAATTCTTCTGAAAATACTGGACTGTTTTTAAACATTGAACTTGCAGTTATTGTTATTTAAATGTAAAATAAAAATATTGAAATTAGGATGCTTTTTAAAATATTTCACATTTACTTATAAATATGCAATATTAGCAAATAATTTTTCTTTTTTAAAATAGGCATGATGAAATTCTAATAAAACTTTATTTTTACAATATTTTAAATATTGAAATTGAATTATTGTTTATTGAATATACAAATAAAAATATTTATTTAGCATTTACTGATAAATATGCAATATTTAGAAATTAAAATGTAAAAATTCTCTAATGCTTGTTGATAATTATTAGGGTGTAAATCAGGGTTATTTTAAAGCTAAAATTAGATAAAACCATAAACAAATCATTATAAAAAAATTTAATTCAATGTATTAAAATAACTAAAACTAGAACTGAAAAAAAATGACAGTAAAACAAAAAATAATAATGGCGTCTCTGTGATACTAAAATAACACCGGTAGAGATTATGCATCCCTACTCTGTAAAAAATGTAGGGTTTGACACAAATCGTTCATGTTCACTTATGTTTACTTAATTGTTTACAAATTCAAGTGGATTGAACACAAAACAATTAAGTTTTCCCAAAAACCAAAATACCAAACCAAAGCACAAAGAATTGTGTTGTTTCAGCTCATTTAAACAAGCAGTGTATGCTTTTTTAAATGTTTGAGTGTACACTTATTTAATAAATTGGATTTTTCATGTATTAAAGTTAGACATCTAAAATGTCTATTTCACTTATACTTATAAGCTAGATGTAAGCTGTTTTATCTTAAATGATTTTTCTTAAATTGACATTATACATGTTTATATTAGCAGGGAGGCGGAGCTTAAAGAGGCGAAAGATGAGATTCGGCGATTGACAGAACAATTAGATTCACTTAAAAACCTGCTGAACAGAGAAAAAGAGTTTGCAAGGAAGTCTGCGCACAGGGTAACATTACATTATGTTCATGTTTTATATAAAAATGCTGGGTTCCACACAATTCCTTCATGTTGTCCCAACACAAATCGATGAAGTTGGCTTAATCGTCAAATTAATTATTAATTAATTAATTCATTTTCTTTTCGGCTTAGTCCCTTTTTAAATCTGGGGTCGCCACAGCTGAATGAACCGCCAACTTGTCCAGCACATGTTTTACACAGCGCATGCCCCCTACCAGCTGCAACCCATCACTGGGAACACCCATACACTCTCATTCACACACATACACTACAGACAATTTAGCTTACCTAATTCACCTGTGCCACATGTCCTGACTGTGGGGGAAACCGGAGCACCTGGAGGAAACCCACACACACACGGGGAGAACATGCAAACTCTACACTGAAACGCCAAGTGACCCAGCCGAGGCTCGAACTAGCGACTTTTTGCTGTGAGGTGACAGCACTACCTACTGCGCCGCTGCGTCGCCTCAAATTAATTAATTACATTTTTAAAAAGTGAATTGAACATAAAATAAAACACAAGTTGTCACAAATAAAAGCATAAGAATTGTGTTGTTTCAACTCATTTTAAATACAAAATTTAAACAAGCACCAAAAGTATTTCTTTTTATGTACAAAAGTCTTGTCATCTATCCAAGTTTTAGCAACAGCAGATAATAACTTGACTTCTAGTTGATCATTTGACTTCTAGTTGATATCAGAAGTGGCGTATATGAAAGGCAAAAGCCTCTAGATTACGCTTATTTTACCACAATAAAATATGATCACGCCTTGATTTTTAATGGTTAAATTAGGATAGTAAGGTCTGACTTTGTTTAGACAAAAGTCTTGACATTTAACAGAAATAATGTACAGTATAGAATATAAAGTCATATAAAGTCTGACTCCATCATGAGCTTGGAGGAATGCATCCATACATCACTGCAATGACTCAAATCACTTTTTAATAAAGTCATCTGGAACGGCAAAGAAAGCATTCTTGCAGGACTCCCAGAGTTCATCAAGATTCTTTGGATTCATCTTCAATGCCTCCTTCATTTTACCCCAGAAGTGCTCAATAATGTTCATGTCTGGTGACTGGGCTGGGAAATCCTGAAGCACCTTGACCTTCTTTGCTTTCAGGAGCTTTGATGCGGAGGCTGAAGTACTGTATGAGAAGGAGTACTATCCTGCTGAAGAGTTTGCCCTCTCCTGTGGTTTGTAATATAATGGGCAGCCCAAATGTCTTGATACCTCGAGCTGTTGATTGTGCCATCAACTCTGCAGATCTTTCACACATCCCCATACTGAATGTAACCCCAAACCATGACTTTTCCTTCACCAAACTTGACTGATTCCTTTGAGAATCTTGGGTCCATGCAAGTTCCAATAGGTCTTCTGCAGTATTTGTGATGATTGGGATGCAGTTCAACAGATGATTCATCTGAAAAAATCTATCTTCTGACACTTTTCCAAATTATTAACCATAAGTCAAGTTATTATTGTTGCTCTTACAACTTGGATCGATGACAAGACTTTTGTCAGGTAGAGTACAAGTACACTGACTTTTAATCTTCATATATTTCCTATCAAGCTGAAGAAGGCACTAAATGATGCATCTGTGAAGTCAGGTGACCTCTCACAAGCCAATCAGGAGCTTCGAGAGAAGGTTTCTGAACTGGAGAAACAGGTGTTCAATCAGAAGTCTCAGCTGAATCAGTATGTGGACAAGAGAACAGCTCTGAGCAACTCTCTGAGAATCAAGGTCTCTAACTTTACTTCTGTGCTGAATGTAGTTCTGCAAAGTAACACAGCAAACACAGATCTGCATTGTCTGACCTGTCCTCTCCTGGCAGGATCTGGAAACAGAAATTAAAGATCTTGAAGAAGCAAAGGATGAATACAAGAAAAGGAGTTATGAGCAGGTATGAATTCAAAATTTACAAAGGTATTGTTACGTGCCGGCTCAAGCACGCAACAAAATGAAGGGAACCCAAACCAAGTTGAATATAATAATGCGAAAAGATATTTATTTAAAGGTTACAAAAAGACAAAAATGATCAAATAAAATAATGTGCAAAAAGGGGTATCAAAGTAAACAACTTAATTGTCTAACATAACAATGTTCAATACGACAAATTATATAGGAGCAAAGTTCAAATAAACAAAATTAATATAAGCGATGGGTAAGGCAAAGGAAGTCAAACGAAAAAACAGTCCTCCAAAGCAGTCTCTCCAACACAGTTTGGAAGCTCCTTTTATAAAGCCTGAAAATTAGCCGCACCTGCTGCATCATAACGAGTCACCTGTTTAGAAACAGAAAGCAAAAACCAGGAAACAGAACGAACCAATCACAAACCCATAACAGTATATAAAAAAAAAACGTATTTATGTACAAGTATATTTTTCTACTAAACGTGCCTCGAAAGTGTTTTACAATGACAACACACTCTCTAAAGTAAATGCAAAATTAAATATCTTTTTGAAAATTAATTATTCATTAATTTATTTTTTTTAGTCATTCATTCATTTTTCTTTGGCTTAGTCCCTTTATTCATCAGGGGTTGCCACAGTCGAATGAACCACCAACCTAACCCACATATTTTTTTTATGCAGCTGATTCCCTTTTAGGGACAAGCCAGTATTGGGAAACATCCATACGCACTCATTCACACACACACACACACACACACACACACACACACACACTATGGCCAATTTAGTTTGTTTAATTAATAATAATAATAATAATATACATTTTATTTATAGTGCGCTTTTCTCAGACCCAAAGCGCTAACAGGCATACAAGGCAAACAAAGCAGAACAATAAAAACAGTAAAAAAGACCACAATAAAAAAATAAAATATGAACGCTTCAATACAATTAAATGATAAAATTAACAAAGATAATCAATCTAAGTTAAAGCTACGGTAAAAAGGTGGGTCTTGAGAAGTTTCTTAAAACATTCCAGAGAAACGCCATTTCTGATGCTGATGGGTAGGCCATTCCATAACTTACACCTATAGCACATGTGTTTGGACTGTGGGGGAAACTGGAGCACCCGGAGGAAATCCACGTCAACACAGGGAGAACATGCAAAATCCACACAGAAATGTCAACTGGCCCAGCTGGGAATCTCAACCTTCTTGCTGTGAGGCGACCGTGCTAACCACTAAACCACTGTCACCCATTTAATTTTTTTAAATTTCTTAATTTTTTCTTAATCCTATATAGATGTATATATCATATTTGATGTGACAATTTCTAAAGCTCCTGCATCATTTTCAAAATAATTATCTTTCTATTGTCTGGTCTTCTGCCCCCTTGTGGATTATCCAAGCAAATCAATAAGTAAAATAAGTTTTTAATATAATTTCTATATATTTTTAAAAATATATATTAAATTATTAAGTTAAAATATAGAATTTATATAAGATATAATATAATATATATATAATTACATAATATTTTCTATGCTTCAAAATTGTGTTACAGGTATTTTAGGAGTACTTATTTCAATCCAATATTTTCCATTGCAATTTTGTGAAGAGTTTATTAAAAGTGAATTATACTGAGGAAAGTAATTAATGCAGTTACTAAATTAGACATAAAGGTAATCTAAATTAAAACTTTATTTACTTGTTATTTTTAGATTTCTTTTTTATGATTGTATGTAAATATTCGAAATGTGACATGCATATGCATACTTTTTGTTGTTGTTATTTGTTTTCTTTTTTTATTTGCATTGTTAAAATTGTAAATTTTATTAAATAAAAATAAAAATTATAAAATGCATGCAAAAACTTTAATGAAATTCAGTTGCATTCAGTGTTATTTTTCAATCGAATACATGTATTTATATATCTATTAATAATAATAATAATTATTGATTATCATTAATATTTCCAACAAAAAAAGAAATCTACATTTATATGTTGATAATAATGTCTCACCCTAATTGTCTTGATTTATTTAGCATTGAAGGCAAAAAAAGTTACATGGGCCCAAAATATTTGCTTAATTGTTGCATTTTTAAATTATAACAATATTAAATGGGGAAAATGTCTGAATTTCTGTGACCCACCATGCTAGCAAACATGTAGTGAGACAAAATAATACTTATGGCTTTGATCTATAATATTATAAACCCCCCCACCCACGTTTATTTATTGTAATTTATTATTATTATTAGTTCTATCGTTGTGTTTTGGTTTGGTATATTTACTTACACCTCTTACATTTATTATTTAATATACATATAGATTAATATGATGGTCTTTACTTATGTATTTATTTAGTATTTTTATGTTAATGCTATGTATTTGATATTTATTATGTTAAACGTCATTCATTACATTGATATTCATGCATTATTTGCAATCAATAAAATGCTCAAATCATTAAAATATAATTTAAATATAAAAAATACTAATATAAATATTAAATCATTTATAAATCATGAAAATATTAGTGGAAAAAAGTAAAGCCTAACTTAACAACTTGCTGGACAGCCAGTTAACATCAGTATTAAACAGTATTAGCATTAGTATCAGCATTATATCTCACAATTTGTAATGTGTGTGTGTGTGTGTGTGTGTGTGTGTGTGTGTGTGTGTGTGTTTCAGTCTCAGTGTTTGCTGCGTCTGCGTTCAGAGATGGTTTCTCTCCAGTCTGAGCTGATCAGCCTGTCCTCCAGCCAGCAGGGGGAGCTCCAGGCCCAAAGAGAAACCAGTCACAAACTCCAGGAGAAATGTCAGGTCAGCAACATTCCCTCTATTTTCCCCTTAAACACTTCCCACTGTCCTAAATCGCACCCTTAACCCTTACAAGTGTAAATCAGTAGCCATTAGTGCTTAAGTTCATCCTTTCTTTCCCTTAGTTTGCCTCATTACTCTCTCTCTCCACAGCTCTGGTTTTAGTTGCTCTTTGCTGTATCAGCAGGTTACAGTTCCCCGTTACGTCCTTCAGGGCCTCCATACTGCACGACCAACAAAATGCTGGAGAAATGCCATTATGTAAAGAAGTGATGAGAGCTTTTGTGCTGAATGCTGCTGTTCTGTGTGTGTGTGCAGCTCCTGGAAGAGCGGCTGAAACTGCTCCAGGATGAGAGGGATGATGCAGAGATCAGACTCAGAGAAGTTTGTATGGAGTCACAGGAGGTAAACAACTAACTCCTTCGTCATCTCTTTATACCATAGTAATAGGCAGAAATACTTAATTTATTTTTTCATTCATTCGTTTGTTTTCCTTCGGCTTGGTCCCTTATGCCCCTTTCACACGGGGCTTCAGAGTCAACGCTTGACAGAGGGCGTGTCTGAAGTTGGGGCTATCGCGATCGTCATAGCAGTGTCAGCCAATGACATTAGTCAGCAATAGGCCACTGTCTGAGCTGGTGTATTTGCATACAGCAATCTGATTGGCTGACGCTTCCGTCTGTGTTTAAAAAGTTGAGCAAGTCTCAACTTCTGCAGCGAGCAACGCCTCTGAAGCGGCGCCAACTGATCAATGCAGTTTGGCAACGCCTGACGTCACCCATTCAAAGTGAATGGTAAGCGTTGAAGCAGACGCCCTGTGTGAATGGGGCGTTATTTATCAGGGGTTGCCACAGCGGAATGAACCATTCAATGAACTATTCCAGCATATTATTTTACGAAGTGCATGCCCTTCCAGCTGCAACCCAATACTGGGGAAACACCCATACTCGCATTCACACATTCATTTATTCATTTTCTTGTCGGCTTATCCCTTTATTAATCCGGGGTCGTCACAGCGGAATGAACCGCCAACTTATCCAGCAAGTTTTTACGCAGCGGATGCCCTTCCAGCCGCAACCCATCTCTGGGAAACATTTACACATATTCACACACACACTCATACACTACGGACAATTTATCCTACCCAATTCACCTGTAATGCATGTCTTTGGACTGTGGGGGAAACCAGAGCACCCGGAGGAAACCCACGCGAAGGCAGGGAGAAGATGCAAACTCCACACAGAAACGCCAACTAAGCCGAGGTTCGAACCAGTGACCCAGCGACCTTCTTGCTGTGAGGCAACAGCACTACCTACTGCGCCACTGCCTCGCCCGCATTCACACAGTATGGCCAATTTTATTTTACCCATTTCACCTATAGCTCATGTCTTTAAACTGTTAGGTAAACCGGAGCACCCGGAGGAAACCCACGCCAACACAAGGAGAACATGCAAACACGCCACAGAAATGACAAGTGACCCAGCAGAGACTTGAACCAGCGACTTTCTTGCGGTGAGGCGACAGTGCTAACCACTGAGCCACCATGTTGCCCATACTCTACAGTAATAGTCACACATACTCAGCAAATGCACTACATTCTTGTTCCTACTAGTGATCTTTATAGTCAGCTAGCCATAATAACTCCTTCATTCATAGCCCTGCTGACTCATTGACATCAACCATACACATACAGGGTTCGGACGTTTCTTTGAAGTACTTGCATTTCAGACATGGATTTGAGGCCTGGAGAGTACTTAAAAACAAACACAGGTCCTTGAAAGGGCTTGATACGGTGGCCGAGAGAGTTTATTGCGCTGCAATTTAAGGCCTCGTGTACACTAATATATTTTTTTAACGCATAAGGTCTGCTACAGTTACGCCTGTCTGTCCACACTATGCTGGAGTTTTCAAGAGCAGAAAACACGGGAGAGGCTGTTTTCATTTTAAAACTGCTGCTCGGTGTCAGTGTGGAGGGGGGGACGGAGACATCTGAAAATGGAGGCATGGCTACAGACATTCACATCTCTGATTGAGGCTTTTCCTTAGTATTAAGTAGCCTACACACAATTCAGTCTTGCATCTTACCTTGTAAGTTCAGACTTAGCAAGTTTGATATAATAATAATAATAACAATTCCTTACATTTATATAGCGCTTTTCTGGGCACTCAAAGCGCTTTACACAGTGGGGGGAATCTCCTCATCCACCACCAGTGTGCAGCATCCACCTGGATGACGCGACGGCAGCCATTTTGCGCCAGACCGCACACCACACACCAGCTGATTGGTGGAGAGGAGACAGTGATGCAGCCAATTGAATATGGGGATGGTTAGGAGGCCATGATAGACAAAGGCCGGTGGGCAGATTTGGCCAGGATGCCGGGGTTAAACCCCTACTCTTTTCGAAGGACATCCTGGGATTTTTAACGACCAGAGAGTCGGGACCTCGGTTTAACGTCTCATCCGAAAGACGAAAACAGACTCCAGAGGACACTTCGGGTAAATCTTCAAAGCACACAGTGTACTTTATAACCTTATTCACATCACCATAGATATGTTGTTTCACTTTCTTAACAAGAAATTGGAACCATAATTTAAGGAACTGCCTGTTTTCATTTTGATATTAACAACTTAACAGACACCAAAACTGTTGTGGCGTCGTGTAGCTGCATATTTATATGAGCGCCATCTTCACTGTATGCGTAATTATAACAAAACGGAGCCTATAACATCACTGCCTCCTTTCATTTTCATTGAAAATATGAATATGAATATGTGTGTTCACTCTGAAAACTCTAACAATAATAAGTGCACTTTAATTACCCGGATGATGCACTCATTCAGCCGCTAAAATGAAGTGTGTAATGATGGACACTTCACGCACTCAACGACCGCAGGTTTGCTTACATAGCAGAAGGGTCAGAGCTTTCAGACGCACATGTTGAATAACTTTATTATTTTAGATGGTGAAAGCAAAATTCTCCTACGAGAGTGATTATAGCGCCTTCCGATGGTGAATGCGGCAATACTCACGACAGGTATTATTTGATAATTCGGTCGTTTATTTCACTGATTTGGCAACCGTCAAACGTCATTAGGGAAACGGTTTGAATTTCCGCTTAGTTAAAAAACATCAGTGTGCCATTTGGGACGACACTACATACATATACTATGCTGTTGAGTGTGTCAGTGCATAAGTGCATGAGTGCAAAGTGTGCCATTTGGGATGCAGCTATAGTGAGATTAGATCCAGCGGTAGATCCTTGATGAGCAGTTCGACTTGCACAGCCCTCATCGCTTCAGTGTATGCCAGAGTGTGTGTGTGTGTGTGTGTGGTCACGTGATGTGAGTTTTCAGCACTATAGTGTGGACGGAGAGTTGTTCTGAAACACTAGCTGAAATGCCAGTGTGGATGTGGATCGTTATCATTCTAGAGTCCGTTTTAAAACTAAAACAAATGAGTGTAAACGGGGCATCAGAAAACACATGCAATTACAAAAACCGCCAGCAAATAGAAAAGATCTTCATCTGTTTGACAGCACAAACAAATGAAATAAAGCACTTAGCATTTTCTTACATTAAAAACAATTTAGGAAAACACGCTGCATTTTCTCACAACATTTTCAAATAGCACGGAACACAAGGGGACCCTAAAACGTGATGGACACGGCTATTTAGATTATGGTTATTAAGGCTAATAAAAGAGAAAAGTCAAGGAAATCAGGATGTTAAAATAAACAAACAAAAACCTCACCTTTCAAAGATCCCCTACAACTACACAAAAGTGTGTACTTTTTCATGAGGGAAAAGTACATACCTTTGAGTGTGCAACAGAAGAGTATGCAAGCTTTGGGACATACTACTTCCTCATTAACAGATTGTTATTTTGCTTAGTTAGGAGCCCGTCAATCATCCACACATCATCCACATTTCTGTCATATTTAATTTCCTACCTTACTGGAGAAGCAGCAGCAGGTTAATCTGCCATTCACGAGTCTTTCATGCAGAGAAATCTTCTGAGGTCTTTAAATAATTATGCATTCAGATGTTCATGTCCAAACACGTCTTTATGGAAGTTCAGTACTGCTGTTGCAGATGAATTATAACACAGAAAATGCGGTTTAAATATTTTCCAGTCGGCTAGATATTAATTAACGGTCATATAAACATCTTTACTGAAGCCTCCCTACTTGACAGTAGGTCTCGCAATTTTCACCTGCGTTTGTAGTTCTAATCGAATTTACCTCCTTCTGCACTTACAATTGTTTGCCGAAAATGGTAAACCATCGGAAATAGGAAACCTTTAGCATCCTCTTTTCAACATACTACGATTTGGGACATACTAATTCTATTTTCAAATACTATTAAGGATGGATAGTATGTAAATTGAGATGCAACAATGGTCATGGCACAGTGGCGTTCGTCACGTTTTTGGGTCCACTTGAAACATTTGCGTTGTTCCTTTTTTTTTTTTTTTTGCAAGTGTTGTGAGATAATGCAGGCATTTTCGTAACTTGTCTGCGTTGTGAGAAAATGCAGCGCGTTTTATTAATTTTGTTTGTGTTGTGTTCAAATGCAGCGCATTTTTTTATGTGTATGGATTGTGAAGATTTGCAGCAGTGTTTCATTTGAATTTTGAATGAAAAGGTGCTAAGCTCTGCTTGAAAAGTCGCTAAATGATGCTAAATAACGTCTTAAGTCTATTTGCAAATTACTGACGTCCTCGCATCCAGCAGTTTCTTTTTGCCTATAGTTTATAAAGGGGTATATTTGCACTACGCTTTGTATTGTATATGCATGTCAATTTAATTTAATTTATTGTTGTTTCTATACAGTATATCAGTATAGTTGAGTAGCGAATGTCTCAGTAATGTCACTAGCTATGTTTCCATCCACCTGCAAATGCGCATAAAAAAAAACAGTTGATGGAAACGCCATGATGCGCATAAATTTTGAAAATGCACATAAAAAACTTATGCGCCTAACTGGGTAGGATAAACTTTTTATTCACTAAGAAAAGATGCGCATAAACTGCGATGGAAACACTTTTTAAAATTAACACTTTTTACTTTTAACTCCAGCCTGCGCATTAAAAAAGGTCATGTGATTTTGTTGAAAGAGATCATGTGATGCTTAAAATGTGTGTGAATGGACAAAACGTCAGGCTGAGCACATTATAAAACATCTGAAATGTTGTTTTGGTCATTATAAAACGCCTTACCATTTCAGTATTAATGTTATTATATTACTAATGACCTCCAGAATCAAGAGCGCCTGTGTTCCACGTCTCACACCTTCAAACGCCACTGCGCGCTCACTGCTTGTCAGGATTGTCTTCTGACGCGCATTCATTTAGAAAAGATTGATGCAGCTTCTCCTACTGCAGCAAATGCAGTTTTTACTGTTGATATTTGGCGCCAGTTAATCAGGAAGTGACGATTTTGTTCACTTTGACTCGTTTGATGGAAACGATGCTTTATTCGCACAACTTTTATGCGATTAATTCAGTTTTGCGCATAAAGTTTATTCGCATTTTTGTGTATGGAAACATAGCTACTGTCTCTGAAATTTTTAACGAGAATGCAGTACTTATAGAGCATTTATTAATCATAGTTCAACATTTACTAATGCATTTATAACATCCAAATTAACGCTTGTTTACATTAAAGCAGTTCAAGTTAACAGGAGCTAATAATAAATAACTGTACTTTAATTATCTAACATTAACTAACATGTACCAAAACTTAAATCGTAATATGTCTTCTAAAGATGAAAAACATCAGGATGAGTAATTAATAACATCATTTTCATTTTTGGGTGAACAATCCCTCTAAAATGGACATCATTTGAAGTTTTTGGTAAACTATCCCTATAAACTGAAAGTGAATGCAGTGGAGTTTTCAACACGATCATCTCCCTTGTTCCAAAATCCTCAACATGGTGTCAGAATTTAGGCTGCCGTCTCCTCCTCTGATCATAGCCGGTGTTGAAATCATGCGAGCTCTCCAGAGGATGGAAAATTCTTTTGCTTCTCATTTTTTTGCCTTTGATTTGCTTCCTTCGTTTCCATCCGGCTCCTCTGTTCCTCAGATCACAGAGAACATGGATGAAGACCACAGAGGGCTCCGCTCCAAATCTCACAGCTTTAATGACGAGCCGCAGAAACTCACCGAGAGCTTATGGAGGATGAGAAAAGAGCGCTCGTGCTCTACTCCAGTTCAGGTAGCAAATGAGACCTATGAAAAATTCATGACATTCTTTTACACCATATGCTGAAATACAACTGACAATTCATTAATCATGTGTCTAGTAGACATTTTTAAACTTTTTTTTTTATCAAATAGATTAAGAAAAAGCATGTTATTTGAATGCTCATAATTTGCCATGTGTTATTTTTGTTGACGCATTTTATGGAATTTTATTGCATTTGACTTAAAGATGTTTATAATGTCACTAAAGATGTCTATTTTTAAATAAATGCTTTTCTTTTTAATTTTTCATTCAACAAAGAGTCCTTAGCATTAAGATATTTTGGCCACATCCTTATCACCCTGCAGCTCAAGACTGGTTACTCACCGAAGCTAAGCAGGGCTGAGCCTGGTTAGTACCTGAATGGGAGAAAACTAGGTTGCTGTTGGTAGTGGTATTAATGAGGCCAGCAGGGGGCGCTCAACCTGTGGTCTGTGTGAGTCCTAATGCCCCAGTAAAGTGAAGGGGACACCATACTGCTAGTGGACTGAACTTTTACTTTCGGATGAAACGTTAAACCGAGGTCTTGAAATAGAAATCTCTGTGGTCATTAATAATCCCATGGCACTTCTTGTAAAGAGTAATGGTGTAAACCCGGTGTTCTGGCCAAATTCCCTCCATCAACCCTTACTCATGGCCTCCCAATCATCCCCATACAGTACACTGTCTCTCCACCCCCCTGAGCGCACTGGCGCCGTTGTCTTGTGGCTGTCATCTTATCATCCAAGTGGATGCTACTTACTTGTGGTGGTATGGAGAGACCTCCCTCATGATTGTGAAGCACTTTGGGTGTATGGCCATGCACAGTAAATGCGTTTTATTAATACACACATTACATACATTCTTTCTTGCTTAGAAATTTATAAGTTTCCACAAACAAATATTTTTTTGCTTTCATGTTTTTTTTTTAAATGCTTATAATGTTAATGCATTTGACTGGAAGTGACAAAGACATTTATAATGTTGCAAAAGATTTGTATTTCTAATAAATGCTTTTCTTTTTAATATTTCCATTCATCAAAGAATTAGAAAAGTATAAGTTTCCACAAAAATATGAATAATTCAATAATAATACTCGAGCAACAAATTAGCATATATAGGATCATGTGACAGAGGAAACAGCTTTGTACCACATGAATAAATAAAATAAAAATAAAATGGTTATTTTAATTTGAAGTAATATTTCGCAATATGGTGCAAATAACACTATTTCTAAAAAATGTTTAAAAATCCTACCAACCTTAAACTTTTGAACAGTACTACTACTGATAACATTAAAGTTGTACATTTAAATATAGATTTATATATATATATATATATATATATGCACATATGTTTAATGAATTAATTAAACATGTATACATATGTACAGTGCTCGGCATGAATATTTTTAATCCATTTCTCAACTTTTGAAAGAATTTAGGTAATATTTTTATGCTTTTGAACAAAACACACACACACACACGTTTGTTTTTGTGAAAAGTGGGGACATTACATAGGTTTCCATTCATTTTATACCGTCCAAACCGTATATTGTATTGCCCCCACTCCACCCCTAAACCCAACCATCACAGGAGACTGTGTGCAGCTTTACTCTCTGATTAAACTTATCCTGTGGGGATGAGAAATAAGGACGTCATCAATGTCCTCATATTTCACCTCCTTTTTGTAATACCCGTGTCATACACATGTCATTTTACAGATTTGTGTCCTAATATGTCACAAAAACACGTACACACGCACACACACACATATAGTCATTAATATAATAGTTTGGTCTCTAAACATCTTTAGAAATAGAAAGATACAAAAATTTAAATTCAAACATTTTAACTAAATTTGAAATTTGAACTCTGTTTAAAGATTTTTATTTATTATTTTCCCCTAACACATTCATTTGGATCCACAAACGTTTTGACCATTTTGTACGTTATTTTGATTAGCTCCAGATTTGGCTTCAATGCTGATTAATCTAACGTATATTCTCAGATATAATATTGTAACGCATCCTATAAAGATATGAATTTAAAAGATAGATTTATGAGGAGTTTATTCATATACTGTGATCTGTATATAACCTAAATACATGCATATATAGTTGAAGTCAGAATTATTAGCCCTTCTGGATTATTAGCCCACCTGTATTTATTTATTTTTTGTATAACATTTTTTTCAACAATTTCTAAACTTTATAGTGTTAAAAACTCATTTCTAATAACTGATTTATTTTATCTTTGCCATGATGATAATGCATAGATATTTTTCAGGATACTAGTATTCAGTGACATTTAAAGAATTAACTAGGCCAGGGATGGGCAAACTTGATCCTTGAGGGCCGGTGTCCCTGCAGAGTTTTGTTCCAACACTAGTCAAACACACCTGCTTATAGATATCTAGTGATCTTAAAGACACTAATTAGCATGTTCAGGTGTGTTTGATTAGTGTTGCAGCTAAACTGTGCAGGACACCGGCCCTCCAGGACCGAGATTGCCCACCCCTGAAGTAGGCTAATTGGGTTATTTAGATAAGTTAGGGTAATTAGGCAAGTCATCGTATAACAGTGGTTCGTTCTGTAGAGTAGCCAAAATAAGGGGCTAATAACATTAAGCTTAAATGGTTTTTAAAAATCAAAAAATGTTTTTATTCTAGCCAAAATAAAACAAATAAAACTTTATCCCGAAGAAATCTATGTAATAGGCAATATTGTGAAAAATTCCTTGTTCTGTTAAACATCATTTAGGAAATATTTGAAAAAGAAAAAAAAAGTCACAGAAGGCCAAATAATTCTGACTTCAACTGTATTTATTACTATTTGTCTGTATTTTTAATAATTTGCCTTAGTTAAAAGTTTTACATTTACGTCTCAGGGGTGTTATTTTAACTGTTCTATTCCTAACCTGAAGCTTGTGCTCTGTTTGTAGACTCGCGTTTGCTTTTTTGACCCTGAACTGGAGCCCTGGGCATCAGCACTACAGCGCTGGGAGATTAAGAAAGAGCTGGGACGCATCGCTGGCAATTACAAACCCAGAAGACATGTGCGCACACTGACCACCTGAAAACAGACAGTCATAGAGATGTGCATCAACACCTCATAGATCATGGAGACGTGCTTCAGTAGGTCGTCTGCTTGAATGTAAATCTCTACAGTTGGTGTGTTTTGATCAAACGTACAGTTGAAGTCAAAATGATTAGCCTCTCTCTATATTTTCCCCCAAATTCTGATATAAGATATTTTCCAGCACATTTCTAAACATAATGGTTTCAGTATTTCATTTCTGAAAACTGATTTATTTGATCTTTGTCATGATAACAGCACATAATATTTAACTAGATATTTTTCAAGACACCACTTTACAGTTTAAAGTGACATTTAAAGGCTTAACTAGGTGAGTTAAGGTAATTAGTCAAGTCATTGTATAACGATGGTTTGTTCTGTAGACAATCAAAGCAAATATAGCTTAAAGGGGCTAATAATTTTCACCCTAAAATAGTTTAAACAAATTAAAAACTGCTTTTATTCTAGCTGAAGTAAAACAAATAAGACTTTCTCCAGAAGAAAAAATATTATCAGACATACTGTGAAAAAATCCTTGCTCTGTTAAGCATCATTTAGGAAATATATATATGTTTAAAAAAAGAAAGAATATTTACTGGCGAATAATTCTGACTTCAACTGTATATCATAAATTAACTGCACCATAATTTAGCTTGAATCTAAAAAGCGCACAAGTGAAAAATGCAATCTGTGTGTGTAGAAAAAAAGGCAGAGAGGATGATGGCCTGTGCCCTTGCTGCTCATAAAATGAAGTGGAACCAGAGCTGCACTTTATGACCACACTCTCAAATTATTGTCAAATTACTCATGTTAAACACGTTCTGTCCCTGCAGTCGCAATAAACACAAGGTCAAACTCCTTTACCCAAAAAACAAAGCTCTAGAAATGTGCAAAAAAATAAATAGCTGCAAGAGAGGGTCACCTCCACTTTGCTTGTATATTTAGGTGAGCAGTTAATAATTTTTTTGTATAGCAATATGTATAGCAATTGTATAGCAATGTGTCGTCTTGTCAATAAAGTTTGTAATTATAGTAAAATATTGTAACTTACTTATTTTAATTAGAATTTTCACCAGATATGCAAGTTGCAATATTTTTTGTACATTACAATGTGTCCTTTTAAAAAATTCATTTATTTATTTATTTTCCTTCGGCTTTGTCCCTTTATCCATCAGGAATAAAGCTGATTGTAAGGTCTTTCTTAAACTGGAACGTAAAGTCCACACTAGGGGCTTAGTAACTACTAGCTAGTTTGTAACTAAATTTGTTCTCACTTCGGTATATAAACCTCTTTGTGCTGTTTGTGTTGCTCTGCAATAACACTTCTGAAACGCTAGCTGGCAGTAGGCCTCTGTTTCTCTGTGTCGAGTTTCTTCATGGGTGTTTTTTTTCCTGAGATACAAACAGCTAAAACTTGCTCATTTGGGAACCGACGGATGTGCAACAACTTTTATTGCGACATCCTGATGCCTCCTGTAAGTCGCTCGAGAGGCAGTGAGGGTCCTTTTAATTTGTGACGCGCTGGTGGCTTTAGACAGACACACTGAGCCCAAGATGTTATATGGAAAACTTATGTAAACTTGAAGCATGACAAACAATACAGCAATTTGTGTCGTGGAATACCTGTTTTGTATGGTGCCGATTATTGCGTTGGTGTGATGGTTGTTGCATGTGCCGTTGCGATGCCGTTTTGCATTGCTGTTTTGCGTGGCTGTTTACGTGGCTGTTTGCGTAGCTGTTTTGCGGTCAACAAAAAATACGGCTACCCCACTCTCCTTCTCTCCTCCTAACACCTGTGTGATTGTGCACATGCTTTATATGTTCTAGCAGGTGCCAGTTATGCCCACGTGACCAAAACATAAAACGTCACTGTGAAACCCAAACTAATCAGTATACAAATAAACATTATAATTAAATGAAAAGTAATATGGCTCCTATAACTTTTAATCATAAGATTAACACAAATTTGATTGGTAGATTTGCCTCTCCTCGCAACAGACTTCGGGAAAGAGGAGAGACAAAAGAGAGACTCCGCTGATATTGAGAGAGTGACTGGCTGTGTGTGTTGTACAGGACAACATACAATCACCTCAGCATGAGCAGATTTGTGTGGAGACTTCCTTTAATTAAAAATAACACAATGCAGATAAACGACTGCAACAAAACTGGTGCCGTGACCCGGATGGGAGTGAGGTTCAGGGCGGTGAGTGTAACGGAGGCCAACTAGTAAATGCAGTGCAGTTAAATCTCACTCCTCTGACCTCTAAAGGTGCTCTAGCGACAGACACTAGAGGCCATGGTCTTTATAACCTTCTTGTTAGAGTAACCGACTCCCATAAGGAAGGTCATCGGTTCGATACCAGCTCGGAGCAGCGTCAGCATCACCCATGGCCAAATCTTTGCGACTGCACAGGCAGCATCGGAGCATACATGATAGTGATGCGAGGATGGCGGCTATATCCACGGCAGCTTCGAATAATCCAGGGGTCGGGAAGGGTGAGTAATAAAAAATACATTATGATTAATATCGGGTGAGTTGCAGGTGGATGATGAGCAGGACATGGCAGTGGACCAGCGATAAAGCAGAGAGTGGGCTTTGCAGAATGAAAAGATGAGACACCTAAAATAATGGATGAAGTGCAAGAGTAGCCTACTGTTCAAAGTTTCAGTTAGAGGAGTCATCAGAGGAAAATCTGCTTTCGTTCTGGGAGAAACGAGATCGCTTATTTCTACGACTGCAGCACCTTGCAAGGAGATTCTTGTTTATTCCTACAACAAGCGGTGCGAGTGAACGCTCATTCAGTGCAGCTGGCCATGTTTTGGTGGTGAGGCAGAATTGCCCGAATCCAGGCACAGTAGATGCTGTTCTGTTTTGGCACAGTGTGAAGAAAAAGGCCAAGTAAACACAACATACCTGCCATTTAGGCTGAAGTGGCACCCTTTTTGTTATCTTGTTCCTGTATCTGTAAAAGCTGAAATGTCTTATTTTTACTTTCTGTATCTATTTGAAAATGAAGTTAATGTTGTCTAAAGACAAACTTTTGTTTTTATAAATAAATGTTGATTTAAAAACGTTTCAGATAAACATATTACTTTACTATCAGAGATGCGCAGATTAGCTCACTGAATCTGCTGTTAATATCCACGGTGACCTGCCTAAAACAAAAGATTCAATTATTAAAGTGACGATGGGGTGCGGGTCAGGTGCGGATACATATATCAGATAAAACTATTAAGTGCGGTAGGGTGGCAAGTAGATTGTTAGTATGAAGCTGCAGATTCGGGTGTCATTTTAGCTGATCCGCGCATCTCTAATACGCGTGCACTTGACAGAAGTATGATTCAGCCTTTATAGTGAGAGCGGTCTATTAATAATAAAACAAAGACATTTCATTTCTGTCATGCAGCCTATACAAAAATTATGTTACTTTAATTTTATAATATTTGATTTTGTAATGTACAAAGGTAGAATTGCTCTTTAAATGCCATCTGGTTGTCAGATGTAGAAATTCATTTGGCACAAACTGTAATAACAGTGCATTATAGGGATTTTCTAGCTGTAGAGTGTACATGGATTGTAGACTTGTTATTGCGGTGCATTGTGGGATTGATTGAGTGCACCTAATGTCCACTATGATTTCGGCCACCACTATAAATGCCTGCTCTCTTAAATACATGCACTATTTGAGCTTACAGGGTTGATTTTGGATACAGTCTTTACTTCTTCATGTCTAAATTGTACTAATACAGTCTGTTCGTGTAGATGTTGTATGTTAGTAAACGTTTCTAATTCCTAACATTAGGCATGGAACGCCTCTGTGTCTTCCTCTGTCGGTTGTGCGAATTCACTGACGCTACAGATGTTTTCATTATTTCGTTTTCACCTCCTTTCTCTCGTGCCCCCGCAGACAGGGAGAGCGCGCTCGCTCGTGCGCGCGCCTCCTCCTCGGCCTCCTCGTGCGCGTGACGCTCCATTACTGCCACGTAATCTCGGTCGAGCCCCCGCTCACTCACTGAAAACCTCCGGGAACCGTGACAACGACTGCGGAAAACATTCAAACCGTACAGTACGGAACCCCTCCGGGCGGTGCGCGCGGGTGTAGCGGAACACAGACACTGCAGCGGTAAGCGAAAAGTGCGTGGAAGTGAACGAGACGCAGACCACATTAGTGCATTATCACAAGCAACAGGGCGAGCCATGTGTGTGTGAGAGAGACTGTGAAGTGGAACTGGATACTTTTCAAGTCATTTGCATGCAACAGGTCGATGATTTGTTGTCGGTAGGAACTCGTTTTCAATGTAAACACCGTCACGCAACTTTAATGCAGAAGAGAAAGTGCGGCGCTCACGCTGTCATGCGGTAGATTTCTAGCATGTTCCACAATGAAGCGAGTCTGAACGGGACCCTTCTGCCTTTCTAGGGGGTAATTTTAACACTCGTTCAGCTCACATACTGAGAAGTGTAACTTGTTTTGGTCTTCAAAAGAAGTTGAGCACAACACGAGATGTCACACCCACCTGTAGAGCTGATTCATAATGTGACACCCGTCAGCGCTTATTTACGTTCATGCTATGCTGCATTGTGCTCAGTGGATTTGGCATGTCGTGTAAATGTGCTTATTTCTATTAATGGAGTGAGTTAAGGTAATTTAGGAAGATATTTAATTAATAATCTGTCACCAGAGGCCTACTTGGTGATTAGAGGGCAATTTCAGGTATGGGGCTCTAGCATTGAAACTCAAATCATCCTCTTTCTCTACACTGTAAACAATTATATGATCAATTAGTCATGACAACATATGTTTTAAGTTCATTGTAACTTATTAAACTAAGTTAATCATGTTCTAACTTAATTTTTTAAGTTATGCAAGCTAATTTAGGTCAGTTTAACATAATATAAGTTTAATGGACTCATGAAGTTATTTTGAATCAGCTTAAAATTTTAAGGCAAACAGTTGTTTTTTACAGCGTATATATATATATTTTTTTTTTTCTCGTTTTTTCATATTAAAATACATTTTAAGTGGAACCTTTATAATGTAAAATTTAAAATAAATAAAAGTTATTTACCAATAAAAATCAAGTTCACTAACGATGTACAGTTAATTAGCCCTATTATTCATGGGGGCCGCCAGATTTGAAAAGATGTGATGGCAATAACATCTGAATGGTTACAGACAGATTTTACCACATATGATAGAATATTTATAAGAGCTATATGTTTAATATAGACTTCTTGGCATTAATCGGGACCCTCTAATTTCCTGGGGCCCTAAGCAGCAGTTTACCTCACTTATAGGTTAAGTACGCCCCTTTCTGTCACATTACAAATATTTGACCTTGGACCACAAAACTAATCTAGTGTTGCAGGGGTATAGACCATTTCTATGTGGTGATATCATTGGCCCATGAACATTTCCATATTGCCATCAAACTATTTTATAACTGTAACAAGAGGTGAATCAATCATAACCTTTAATACAGCTATCATAACATATAATCATGACAACATGTGTTTTAGTTTATTGTAACTTAAGCTAAGTTAATCATGTTCTAACTTAATTTTTTAAAGTTACGCAAGCTGTTTTAAGTCAGTTTAACAAAGTTCAATGAGCTCAAAGTTAGTTTAATTCAGCTTAAATTTAAGGCAACCAGGATTTTTTTTCACAGCTTAGATTTTAGTTTTTTTTTTCATGTTAAAATATATTTTGAGTGGAACTTTTAACTTCGTAATGTAATATTAAATGCAATAAATTCACCAGTAAAAAAAGTTTGAAAACAAATGATGTACAGTTTATTAGCCATATTTGTGATTACATTTTAATATTTGCACGTGCAGTACAGAAGGAATGTTCCATTATTCATGGGGGCCCCAAATTTGAATAGAAGTAATTGCGGGAAAATCTGAATGGTTACAGACAGATTTTACAACATATGATAGAATATTTATAAAAGAGCTATATAATTAATTTCGGCTTCTTAGCATTGATTGGGGCCCTCTAATTCCCTGGGGCCCTTAGCAGCTGCTTACCTCGCTTATTGGTTAAGTCCACCCGTCTATCACATTACAAATATGTGACCTTGGACCACAAAACTAATCTAATGTTGCAGGGTTATATTTTTGGGAACAGCCACAAATACATTGATTAGATCAAACTTATTGATTTTAGTTTTATGCCAAAAGTCATAAGAGTATTAAGTACTGATCATGATTCATCAACATGTTTTGTACATGTTGTACTAGAAATATCACAAAATTACACGTTTGATTAGTAATATGCAATGCTCAGAGCTTAATTTATATGCGATTCTCTCATTTTTTTTAGTTTTACTAATTTTTTATACCTCAGATTTTTAAATAGTTGTATCTCAGCCAAATATTGTTCAGTCTTAAAATATACATCAATGGGAACTATATTTCAGGGTGTCTGCGGGGTCTTAAAGTCATAAAGTGTCTAAAATCTCAATAACTAAATTTTGGGCCTTAAAAAGTCTTAAATCTACTGAAATGTTGTGTTGTAGGTCTTGCATTTTTTTTTAACAGGTCTTAATTTTCCTTTGTTCATGTATAGCTACCCAATCTGGCCATTAACACCCATACATTCACCAACAATCCCAATCTCAATAAAACCTTAAACTTTTTATTTAAAGATTGCATTTTTAACTCTATTTACCGTAATGGTTTAATTACTTTCCTTACAGTAACATGTAATACTGACCTGGCCTATATTTTATTATTATTATTATTATTGTTATTATTATTGTTATTATTACTATTAAATGTATTCAATTATAATACTTTTTTATAGGTCTTTTCCTTATTCTTAGCATTTAGCCTTGTATAATTGTAAATTTTCATTTATAATGGTCTTAATGTCTAAAAGTCTTACATTTTACTTGGTGAAACCTGCAGACACCCTGTATTTGTTCTGCTTTCTTGTAATGTATAAATCTCAAAAATCCCAAAATGTAAAGTCGCATATGGTTTTGTGATGGATCAAAATATATTATGTGATATAAAAATATATACATCATGAAATATTCACTTGTTTTGTGTATATAAACATGATTTAGTTTCAATCATTAGTCTTATTCAAAGTAAAATCGTTATCTACTAATCCCCAATGATGAGTTTCAGTTCTACTATCTCGCATCTCACAAAACTGGACTGACAGTTTCAGTTTTCTAGACCAGGGGTGTCCAAACTCAGTCTTGGAGGGCCGGTGTTCTGCAGATTTTAGCTCCAACGTGCCTCAACACATTTGCAAGGATGTTTCTAGAAAGCCTGGTAAGAGCTTGATTAGCTAGCCCAAGTGTGTCTGATTGAGGTTTGAACTGAACTTTGCAGGGCACCGGGCCTCCAGGAGTTTGGGCACCCCTGTTCTAAAACTTCTATGTGAAGCTGCTTCAACACAGTCTACATTGTAGAAGCACTATAGAAATAAAGGTAATTGAATTGAATTTCATCTATATTATGCATATTTCAGCACTTATATTTATGTTTAGACTCTGAATTAGTCTCCTTTAACATATTACACATTTGCCAACTAGTTCATTAAAACGATTACACGTCTCCATGACCCAGATTACTGTAATTCTCTTTAGCATAATACTAGAGTGGAAGTAAAAACTGACTTAAGTTTTGTTTGTTAAAGGGTTTTAAATATGTATAAAGTTTACACAAACTTCCCCACCCTTAAGCAAGTAGTTCATTACGGGACACACTTGAAGTGTGCACAAAACCACACAATCTTAAGATTCAGGATACAACACCCAGTTCCTGTTTGCCTGGGTGGGAATTGTGCTTCATTCTGTGTGTGTGTATGTATGTATGTATGTGTGTGTGTGTGTGTGTGTGTGTGTGTGTGTGTGTGTGTGTGTGTGTGTGTGTTCGCACTGCTGCATTTCACATTTCTCAGAGCTGGCCTTTGCTCAGTTGCCATGACTACGGTTGGAAAAAGTTACTATAGGTATGAAGCCGCAGACATGGAGCAATATTTCATGTATATAGTTTTATTCTGAAGAGAAAGTGTGATATGAGGCTTTTTCATATCAAAACTACCTTAAGAACTTTGGCAAGTTTTATTTTTTAAGTTTACAATGATTAAAAATTCATACAACAAACTTAATATGCCACACAGAAGGACTGCTTGCCATAAAAAAAAAATAGAAATGTCAAATCATAGTTTTATTTATTATTAATAATGCATTACAATTAGATCTTGCTAATGTGATATTGATCTGTTAATGTGCATTGCTGGAATTATTGTGCATAATTCATCAGTCATCCGTCTGTCCGTCCATCCATCCATCCATCCATCCATCCGTCTGTCGATTTATCCATCCGTCTCTCTATTCGTCTGTCCGTCCGTCTGTCTGTCCGTCTAACCTACCGTCTGTATGTCTGTCTGTCTGTTCATCCATCTATCTATCTATCTATCTATCTATCTATCTATCTATCTATCTATCTATCTATCTATCTATCTATCTATATCCATCCATCCGTCCATCCATCTGTCCATCTATCTATCCATCTGTCCATCTATCCGTCTGTCTGTCCGTCCGTCTATCCATCCGTCTGCCTATCCGTCTGTCTATCTTTGTCTGTCTGTCTGTCCATATATCTGTCTGTCTCTCTGTCTCTCTCTGTCCGTCCATCCATCCATCAACCAACAATACAAAGTGTTTTGTTGTTGTTTACAGAATGAAGGCATGCTATTTTTTATCTTATTTTTAAAGTTCTTCTTTTAAGAAATATTATGCATTCATAATTAATATGACATACTTAAATATTTATTTGACACGCTGGAGGGTCACATTGGAATAAAACAAATTAATATGTAATCAAACTGGTTTTGTGTATTAACAATATATTAATTGTATTATTTATTATGGTGTATTAATATTTATGTTGTACACTCCTGGTTTTATTGTGCATTATTCATCAGTGTACATTATTAAGTCATAACCTACTGTGCCTCTGCAACAACTTTTCTGTTTATTTTTTTCATGATTTTCCAATCAAATCCCAATTGCTTTTCTCACTGAATATCATGACCTAAATGTCTTGCAAAAAGCTTCAAAAATACAATTTCACTTATGTTATTTTTTAAAACAGGTTTAGTGTTTTTTTTTTTTTTTTTTTTCAGTAAGTAAACTTTTGTTAAACCATTTTTACACATATGCAAGGGTCCACTTACAATGTGTGTGATGATAATTCGATAGAAAATTTGATAAAGCTGTTTGCTCAAGGTCGCAGGCCGAGTGCATTAAGGGGGTTGCACACCAGATGCAAAAAGTGCTGTCGTGCCAAGCAACACCATGCATTTTAGCATTCTAAACATGGATTTTTATCAGGGTAAGCACACTGATGCCGCAAGCCGGCGGCTGTCTGTGGCACCCAGCTATGACTCGGGACACTGTTCATATTCTGACGTGCCACAGAGCGCCATCTGAATAGTTTCATTTTAAATAAAGTGTGAATTTGCATGTCTAGTGTGGTATACTTCCAACTGTTATGTGCGCGCTGTGTCGTAGCGCATCCGGTGTGCGACTCGATTGAGTGTCCCACCAGTTCCGATATATAGCCATATCTCACTGCTTCAAGTGTGATATTGCGTTTATACAACAGTTCGACAGCATAATTTTATATATAAAAACAAAAGCTAACATGAAAAGTCTCAAAAATCCTTTTTTATGAGGAACTAAAATCCTTTTTTATGAGGAACTAACGCCATTCATTCACATCTGCAGCTGACACTCAGAACAGCAGAAACCGTTGCTACTTCACAAACATCACTTTAGAGCTAGTGTTTGAATGATTCTCTAGCGTAATGTCTAAAGTGATGATAAAACAGCTGATTTTGCTTATATTTCAAGATTATAAGGCTGAACGGCATGAAATGCCTTCAGTCTACATAAATATCCCAGTATTTCTCTGTTGCAATCGGAAATCACAATAATTAACACCAAAAAAGCCAGAGCAAAGTAAACACTACCGGATTACCATGGTATAAATACAGCACCACAACATACAAAATGTCACTTACCTGATTTATAATGATTTGATCAGCTGTAGTTTAAAATTATGCTGAGTTTATAAGGCATATGGGCTTATTATGCTTTCTTTGTCACCATCTTTTGGTGGAACATCAACCCTCGTTGCTCTGCTGTCATCAATGACATAGGCACTATCCTTATAAATAAACTGCATAGTGCATTCTCGCCTAAAAAAGCCTCAAAAGTACATTTTGTTGTCCAACAGCTGCAATATTTGTGGAACTGTGGTGAGTTTATTGATCTGCTGTCACTCTATGTGGGTGAAGTAATACACAAGGGTGAAGAGGCTGCATGAGTTTTGATATTGCAGAATATTGCACGGCGCAAATGAAAAATATACAAAAAAACTAGATGTACTTTAAGTCTGATTGAACTGTGTTGATGTGCTTCCAACTGAAGCTGAATATTGAGAAGGGGGCGGGGCTTTCTTTGTGTGCATCATTTTCTCATAGCAAATTAAAAGAGGGGCGTGGCTTAAAAATATTGTAGCTGAAGCTGTCAAACTGACATCAACAGAAAAGAATCGCCATTACAAACGCAGAAACACTCAGAATTTGATTAAAGATTATCAAAACAAACTATATTTCATTCAATCAACTTGCAGGTATTAATTCACTTAAAGAATACAATGAATGGACTTTGCCATTCACTTGTTTTCATTTGTAAAGCACAGTTTTTAACATCTCAAAACTGTATGTGTTTTAACAGGAGGGCTTCTTCTGGGTTTTTCTTTGGGATTGCCGGTGACCCGTTGTGTGGACGCACACTAAGCCATGCGGCAGCTGAAGGGCAAACCGAAAAAAGAGTCATGGAAAGACAAAAAGGAGCGTAAACAGGCCATGCATGAGGCGCGAGAGCAGGTGACGACTGTCGTTTTACCGACGCTCGTCGTCCTTGTGCTGCTCATCGTTCTCTTCGTTTATGTGGCCACCAGACCCGGAGCCATCGAGTAAAAAGACTCAAAAACAGCCAAATGTCCCCTGTCCGTGTCTCTATCCTTCCCCCTCATTCTTTCCCAGTGTTACGTTCGGTGTGGATTGAACACAATCATAAGGATGAATGGATTGACTATCTGTGCCACGATTGGAGTTTGTCGAAGGAGTCTTCCATTTTGGTTTCCAATAGAGCTGCTCTTTCAGCCACCAGCATTGGTGTCTGTGGCAGCCATGTTGGCTCCAAATGCATTTACAGGGTTCCAGTTATATGCCAAAGCACCTGAGACGCAGTCGGACTGATCCAGGAACAGATCTGAAGCTTCTGCGCTCAAAGTCTGTACAAGTGAGAAGTGACTAGTAGTATTGCACATGTCTGTAGCATGCACGCTTATGCACACACAAACATTGACGGGCGACACATGAAACTGATTCTGACAGAAATGAATGTTATCCAGAATGTACACTTCTGAATGCTCATTACCGAATGCCTCTTAACAAGCGGTCGCTGATGTTTTTTGGTTTAACCGTGCGAGCGAATGCACCATGGAGTGCATGTTTCTATGACACATCTGTGATATACAATCCCAACGGCAAACATGCTCTTGTTTTAAAATGTGTTCCAGCAGGACTTGGATCTAAAAATGTGCCTTAAAACCTTTATTGATTTAACATGCAGTTAAAGTATTAATAAAGAAATAGAAAGCCATGCTGAGTGCTTCAGATGTGTTTCCAGGAAGAGTGTGTTGTGAATGCCTTGATGTAATCGCAGTTCTTTGTTCTAGATCAGGGGTGTCCAAACTCGGTCCTGGAGGGCTGGTGTCCTGCAAAGTTTAGTTCCAACCCCAATCAGACACACCTGGGCAAGCTAATCAAGCTCTTAAGCTGCGGTCTTACTGGGCTTTTCCTCCCATAGACTTCCATTCAAACGCATGCGAATGCGTCAGACCTGAAACGCAGGGTTAGGTTTTGCAGGTTGCTGCAGTGTAAAGTTCAAGCTTGGGGAACTCTGACCTGCGAAATTGCATTACTTGACTGCGTGAGACCAATCGAGGATCAAAACATGATCAGATGTACAGAAATTTAAAACATGGAGCAATCGCTCGCTTTTTTAAATGTTTAATAAGCTTGTTTAATCCCGCCCCTTTTCACAGAATATCGCATGCTCAAACTCTAATGTGACCGCAGCTTTACTAGGCTTTCTAGAAACATCCTTGCAGGTATGTTGAGGCAAGTTGGAGCTAAAATCTACAGGACACCGGCCCTCCAGGACCGAGTTTGGACACCCTTGTTCTAGTATATCTAGTAAGAGCTTGATTACCTGGTTCAGGTGTGTTTAATTGGGGTGGGAGCTAAACTCTCCAGGACTGAGTTTGGACACCCCTGTTCTAGATCATAGGTCTCAAACTAGTTTGCTGGAGTGCGCAGCTCTGCACAGTTTTGCTTCAACCCTAATCAAACACAGCTGATTCAACTAATCAAGGTGTTCAAGAATACTAGAGACTATTAAGCTGGTGTGAGTCGAAGGTGGTTGGAGCAAAACTATGCAGAGCTTAGGCCTTCAGGAATTGAGTTTGAGACCATTTTTTTAGGGTTGGGGTGTCCAAACTCGGTCGTGGAGGGCCGGTGTCCTGCAAGGTTTAGTTCCAACCCCAATTTGACAGCATGGCTGTTTCTCAATATGCGTTCTTCAGCGGTCTTGCGTCCCTCGTGTTCTCGTGCAGCGTCATCATCAGCTGCCTAAGTTCAGTTCCAATACTCAAGACCGCAAGGACGGAGGACGCGTGAAACTTCCCGGATGTGTTCTTGATATCGAGGACGCACTGATGCAGACTTGAGCAGCGAACTCGCTCTGGAAGTCCCAGAAGTCATTGCAACTGGAGGTGGGAAGCGCAGAATTGTATTTAGATTCATTATTAAAGTTCAGAGATATCACTTATTTACCTCAGGAGTTTCCCTAAATGAAACGGTGAAAATAAACATTAACATGAACATCTTAGTAAAGGAATAAACACATTAAGGGTTGTTTGTTTGCTGAAATTCGTATTAAAATCTGTTTTATTTATATTGTGCAGAGTATATTTATAATGTTTTTTATGCAAAGTATATATTTTGAAGAGGGGGGAAACAATAAATCGTATGAAGGCTGCAATGTTTAAATAATTTACCATATAAAACACGTGAAGGTCATGTGACCATCAAGAAGAACGCAGCATCTCAATTCTCAAAGGACGCGTTCTCTACCCTCGCTGTCTCCTGAGTTCATTCTTCCGAGGACACCTGGCAAGACCGGTCTCCACAAGAACACAAGTCCATTCTCTGCGTTCTTGGAATTGAGAAACAGCCTGAGTTTGGACACCCCTGTTCTAGATCATAGGTCTCAAACTGGTTTGCTGGAGTACGCAGCTCTGCACAGTTTTACTTTAACCCTAATCAAACACAGCTGATTCAACTAATCAAGGTGTTCAAGAATACTAGAGACTATTAAGCAGGTGTGAGTTGAAGGTGGTTGGAGCAAAACTACGCAGAGCTGAGGGCCTTCAGGAATTGAGTTTGAGACCAATGGTTTAGGGTAGGGGTGTCCAAACGGTCGTAGAGGGCCGGTGTCCTGCAAGGTTTAGTTCCAACCCCAATTTGACAGCATGAACCAGCTTATCAAGCTCTTTCTAGGTGTACTAGAAACTTCCAGGCAAGTGTGTTGAAGGAAGTTGGAACTAAACTATGCAGGACATTGGCCCTCCAGGACTGAGTTTGTACACCCCTGGTTTAGAGGTAAAAAGGAATTTGAACTATGCAGTTTTGTCCGAGTGAACATCTTCAGTGTTTACATTTTTATTTTGGACTGAACCATGACTGGAAGAAATTAAGTTGTAAAAGGGGTGGGCCACATAACCACACCAACCAATGACAATCACCAAGGACCAGTGCTAGTTCAGATGTTCACCAGCACCAGTTTTGACCCCTCTTTGAAATGTCACACCAGATTTTCAACATATTAAGGATTTAGGTTTAAAATGCCTGAAATTCAGATCCTTTTCTCTCAAAAATGTATCTCATTTTTCCGCAAGAAACTTTGCATTCAAACAAGTGTTCAAAGTTAGTTCTGAGTGAATGCAAATCCCTGAACTATATTTTTTACTCCTTTTCGTTCAATCAGAGGATTCAAATGTAAGTTTTGCATATGATTATTAACTTTTCAGCCAGAACTAGATTCGTTTACCCATATATATTCTCCAATGTTTTGTTTCCTCAACGAGACGTGTGATTATTGCTTTGGACGCCCCCCAAATGTTACGTTCTAATGCACAGTATGGCTGGGAGTGGGAGAAATAAACTAATTAAAGATTATAAGGAAAATATAAATGAAAAATGAATAAGGTTTGGCGAAGTCCCTCCTATCCTCTGCCACAGCAATGCAAGAAAACCAGATGATTGGGCTCATTCCATATAGTCCTGTTATTTATATCACAAAAGATTATAAACTGGACTATACATTAAACTTTTGACATTAAAATTAGAGAAAGAGTATACCTCTATAACTAGCCTACCATTCTTATTTTGCTCATATTAAATGACTCAAATTCAAATTAAGTCGCGAAATTTCAAAAGTAAGCGATAAATTATGTAGTGAAGCTTTAAACTATTCAGTACACCTAAATATATCATGGAAAACTGCTACCAAAATAAAATACAAATGATCATGGGTATGATTTAGTTAATGCTTACACATAGCCCTATTTAGACACTGTTCCTACAGCATTCATTCAATAAAACTCCTCGCAAGTCATATGAAAATTAGGCGACTGTTATCTACAGCATCTATTTAAGTATATATCATGAGAGAAAATGTATCCGCTAAAGATGATCAACTTGTTGTGTGTGCAATATTGGTGTCGCGGTCCCTTTAAGATGTTGTTCCGTCATGACGGCGGTGACGTTGAGCGCATAGTTTGTGTGTGAGATCCTGAAACGATGATGATGATGATGTGTGAAGCTCATCTTCGGTGATCCTCGAGAAATCTCCAGCGGAACTCAGCTTCATTCAACGGTTGAATGTTTCCCGGTGGGATGTCAACACGCTGGGCTTGATTATATGGTTTTTCGGGGCGGTTTTCAGAACCAGGACAAGGCCGGTGATGGTCGGGCTTCAAGCCGGAGAGAGAGACCGAGGAGAGGCTGAGATTTCTGCGCTCCTTCGGTAAGTCTTCTGGAAGTACATTACACAAACAGATCGCTTTTTACTGATCATAATACATCACATTTAGATCCAGGTGTTAATTCGTTGATTAGTCTATTTATTATTATACATTGTGATGTATTTCATGAGGTTTATGTCAGGGTTTTGGATTTAAAATGATACTTAAATGTAACAAATAAACTGTAATCAATTGTGATAAAGCTACATTATAACCTTTGGTAAACGTTCATTGTTTACTGTGTGATGTGTAGTCATATGTGTCATAGATCTATATATATATATATATATATATATATATATATATATATATATAAGACTACAGATCACATATTAAATATTAAATGTTTACCTTAAGTTACAATGTAGTTTCATTACGCTTGATTACAGTTTATGTTATGTTTTTCATATATATTATATATTTCTGTTATATATATATATATATATATATATATATATATATATATATATATATATATATATATATTAGTAGCAACTATTGTTTTTATATTGATTTTTATTTGTAATTTGTTAATATATTTTGCAGCATGGGTTTTCTGTCATGTGTTTACAGTTTGATTTTTGTGTTTATGAATGTGTGTCTTTGTGTTTGCAGTTTAGAGCTGATTCCTGGTGTGCAGACTCATCAGAGTACACGACACACACACCGTAAGATAATCATCTGTTGATAAAACATCCTCCAGATGAGCAGCAGAAGATCATGGCTTCAGCTGAGCAACTAGGTAATGATGATGTTTGTGTTACAGCTCAGGTGACACAAAACTTTACATATTATCAGGTATGGGAAATTAAAAATGTTCAGTTTACTGGAGTAGGCATGAGCCGGTATAAGATTCTGACGGTATGATAACGTTGGATAAAACTATCACGATTTTACAGTATTGTGATTACTGCTCTAAAATATATTCATTTTAAATGTCTGGGTAAAAAAGTAAAACTTGTTCCTCTTTGAACACAACATATTTTATAAAAAAAAACAAAAAAAACATTGAAAATATTTTAAAGCAGTAAACATGTCAGGCTACATAATGAAAATGAATTATTGACTTCTTCTGTCTTCATTAGGTTCAAAAACACAGATTTCTTTACAATTTAAAAGGACATCTTTGGATATCCTTTCTGCTGGAGGTACTGTTATCAAAAAAAATGTAAATAAAAAGTCATACACATACCTTAGGAATGGTATTAGAAAAAAGGTTTGGCGGTTTTAAAACCTTGAATTTACAAAACCACGGTATACTTTGAAAACGGTTATCGTCCCACACCTAATCTGGAGTTTGAGTAAAATGTTAGTGTTCATTTAATTCTACAAGGGTCTGATAACAATTTTTGCAAATTTAAAGAAAATATAATGTCCTATTTTATTTTCAGAAAATGACTATTGGTCATAACAAATGTTTATAAATAGATGTATGTACTATAGCCTTTATATTACCAGGAAAAAAACACATTAAGATTAAAAATATCATTTACAAGAACGTCCTGGCCAAGATTAGGCAGTATAGAGTTCACGTGGGTTTAACAAACATAACAGAGAATATCATTCATCCATCAAAACACGCATCAAATGAAAAACTACACAGAACATCTACAGGCCAATGTTTAAAATTTCACTTTTTTTAAAGTAGCTAGTGAAAGCAACTCTTTAAATATGTATACGTGTATACATAAACAAACACACGCACACAAGTTTTCCAGAAACGTTCTCACAAAATACAACACATTAGGAGAATATAATGTGGCCAATAATTGTCTTTAAAAAAAACCACAAATGACGGCGATGCGGTTGCACAGTAGGTAGTGCTGTCTCCTCACAGCAAGAAGGTCGCTGGTTTGAGCCTCGGCTGGGTCACTTGGCATTTCTGTGTGGAGTTTGCATGTTCTCCCATGGGTTTCCTCCGGGTGCTCCGGTTTCCCCCACAGTCCAAAGACTTGCGGTACAGGTGAATTGGGAAGGCTAAATTGTCTGTGGTGTATGAATGTGATTGAGTGTGTGTGGATGTTTCCCAGAGATAGGTTGCAGCTGGAAGGGCATCCGCTGCGTAAAACATATGCTGGATAAGTTGGCGGTTCATTCTGCTGTGGCGACCCCGGATTAATAAAGGGACTAAGCGGAAAAGAAAATAAATGAAGGAAACACAAATGACCAAAAACATACGTTAGTATTTTAGTTCCCCTTCTTTTCCATTTTAATCCTCAACTCTTTAGCTACCCCAAGAAAAAAAATGTTTGGATTGCATTTTTTAACTCCTAATGTCACTAGTTAACACACTCAAGGCAATTTTTTTTCAACACATCACATAATTTCTAAAATATCAGCCTGTATCCAATAGTAGATATGTTGGTTTATGGTAAAAGTACCAGAATTTAATGCTAAATCACCTTCTTTTTTTGAAGTATGCCATAAAATATTTCAGATTCTCATTTAACATACTCTCTTGTTTTGTTTATTTTTTTCTGTTTTTGTTACAATAAAACCAAAATAAAGAGCAGTAGTTCAACAGGATTATGTTTGTTTGATTTTTTTTTTTAAATAAACATTTTTATTCATTTTTGTAAACCAACAATGCTGTGTGTAAGCCATTATTTAAAACAGTCATTCTTTAAATGACTTTAACAGTCATCATTTAAAACTGTAAAAACATGATTAACCATTTGTGGTAGAGGAGCAGGCAATGGGTTAAAGAGTTTTCAGTATAGAAAAAGTAATTAAAAATAATTGTACAAAACAAACAGAAATAACTTGCATTTACTATAATCTACAAGCCTATATTCATTTATGAAAATCAAGGTCACTTAAAGGGTTAGTTCAACCCAAACTGTCACATCTGCCATTATTTACTCACCCTCCACTTGTTCTAATCCTGTTTGAGTTTCTTTCGTATGTTGAACACACACACAAAAAGATGTTTCATAGAATGCTGGAAACCTGTAACCATCAACTTCCATAGTATTTGTTTTTCCTACTATGTCAAAGGTTATGCAGGTTCTCAGCTTTCTTCAGAATGTCTTACTTAGTATTCGACAAAAGAAACTCCGGTTAGGAACTACTTCAAAGTAAATAAGTCGTGTATGAATGTTAAGTTTTGGATAAACTGTTCCTAAGCTTGTAGTGTGTGTGAAATTCACAATTCAATCAGCTCTTTCTGTGGTTTCTGCTTGGCCTTGTCTTGATAATTTGATAAATGATCTGAAAAAGACTTTCCTCTTGAGGCTCACTGTAGTAGTCCATTTGGGCTGTTCAGGTGTTTCTTATGATCTGAATGAAGCTGCTTTTTTATTTTAAAGGGACAGTTCACCCAAATATGCTAATTCTGCTATGATTTACCCACTTTACTTATTCTAAACGTATTAGAGTTTCCTTCTTCTGTTAAACTCAAAAGAAGATATTTTGAGAAATGCTGGTGCCCATTGACTTCTGTAGTAAATAGGCTGCTTTTTCCCCAAACTTTTTCTGAATTTCTTGTTTTGTGTTTAACAGAAGACGTCCCAGAAATCTTTGAGTCTGTTAATTTACTTGTGTAAATGTATATTTGTTGAGGTTTTTTTTATAATTTCAGCAATATCACTGACTAATGTGCAATTTTTGAATGATTTATGTACAATACAGTTTGCAAAATCATCTTTTAGTAAATATATATTATATAAGAGGCTTGCTTTGTTTACCAAACAAAGAGATCTATTTGTATTTGCATTGTTAACCCTTACTTATTGTTTTTTTATTTTGTGTTTATAATGTCCCTATATTCTGTCTGGTCCTGCTCATATCTCATATAAACCACATGAGGTAGAATAAACAATGTGGTCATTTGATTTTTTTTGGGTGAGCTTTCCTTTTTGAATCAAGTTTCATTTTAAATAGGCCAAAATTGAGTCAGATCAATGCATTTGATTAATCTGTGAATTTTGATTTCGAATCGGATTAGACATGGAGGTGATGACGCCGCTGATGGAGAAAGCAGAAGGTGAAGAAGAGGAGGAGGATGAGAATGTAGATGGTGATGAAGATTCCAAGCATCTTCCTCAAGGCATCACGTAAGTCTCTCCTGTCGTCTGTCACATCACAGATGCTTGTCCTGTTTTAAGTAGGGAAAATGTGCAATATTTCGATAACGGTATTTCTTAAAATATGACCAACTTTTAAAATTAAAATGCAATTCATTTAAATAAAATACATTCGTGCAATTTTAATTAACTTCATAAGCAATTTTTTAAAATATTTCAAAATTGTTCACATTAATCTCAACTGTGTGTGGGTCTCAATATGTATGCAAATATAAATATGAAAAGGTGACAACGCCAATATATATTAATATTTATATATCAGCAGTTTGTACAAAATCTTGTATGTAATCTTCATACTAAAAAAAAAAACAAATAATAGATCATATTTTTCTGCGCTAATTAAATACTAAAAAAATAAACAAAGTCCAGATGCAAACAATTAGACTTTAAAACATCAGGAATGGCTGAAAACCTCAGCGGAAATTCAGATTTTTATTGGCTGTTGTCATTTTCGTTGTTCATTCACCTCATGGCCGTGACATTGCTTTGAAAACAAGTTAAATGCCAGAACGAATGCAAAAATAACCAATTATTACTGTGAAACATAAAAGAAGGTATTTTGAAAAATGCTGAAAACCTGTAACCATTGACTTTCATTGTAGGAAAAACAAATACTATAGAAGTCAATGGTAGCAGGTTTTCAGCATTCTTCGAAATATATATATTTCAAAAGCATGCACATCAATCTCAACTGTGTGTGCGTCTCAATGTACATGAATATATAGAAAAGGCGACAACACCAATCTATATTATTATTCATGTATATCAGCAGTTTGTACAAAATCATTTATGTAATCATCATACTAAAATAAAAGTCCAGCGCAGAGCGCGTTAGTTGTGCGCATCGCTTACACATTGCTTAAAACACACAGCATGTACAGCAATACGCAAATATCTCTACCTATGAAAAAGAATAAAAGGATTTAAATATTACAAAATATTTTATTTTCTAGCCTACTTAAATATAAAAACCACTGCCTCCATGCCTCCTTCAGTTTATTCATAACAATTTACTTTTGTATATATATTTGTATTTATTATATCCATATTTATATTTGTTTTATTAAAAACAAGCTTTTAGACAGGTGCATATGGTTTGGAAATAACTCAGTTGTTTGAGCACACTTCATTATTATTGTTCATTTATTAATTTGCTGAAAATTAGAACTAAATTAAGAAATAGTTTTGAAACAAATATTTGCGCTTAATAAACTAAATTAATTATTCAGGCTAATGGATGTCTGTGCCTACAACACGTTTCCCTATCCACGAGAGTGAAAGTGAAAGTAAACAATGAGGAGGCTCATCTCTCATTCTCGCTCTGCAGATGCTGTTTAACTGTTTTCTCGCTAGTAAAACGCTCATTTTTTTCACTTACGAAGTCTGTCATGTAAATAGCAAATGCACCATGGCGTGACGGAACTGACTCTTAAAGGGAATGGGAGATGAGACTCTGATTGGTTTATTCTCAAAACACACTTATAACTCATTAAGAGAATAACCTCAACCCTGTTAGACCATGCGCCACGGCACAAGGCGGATTTTTCCATTCTTAAAATAGTGAAAGTGGATTCGGACACGCCCTTAATGCTTTTGCGCCGTGCACTATGGCACCTGGATTGTCAAAATAGAGCCTAAAACAGAGACTTTAAAAGACAATGAATGACTAAAAACCTCGGCAGAAATTGAGATATATATTTTTTTTTATTGGCTGTTGTCATTTTCCTCTCTTGTCTCCCAGTTTTAATTTTCAGCTCTAAGTTGACTGAGGCCGCCTCTGATTGGTCAGATTTATATAAACAACATATACATGCAGTGCACTGATGCTTTGCTCTGCTTTGCTTTGAAAATTCTTTTTAAACCAGAAGAATGAATTAAATGCCAGAACGAATGCAATAATCAATCACTCTATAGTAGGGATGTAATGGTATCAGAATTGGCACGATATGGTATTCATTGAATCCTTTACAGGAAAAACAAAACTAATGAAAATACTCCAAAAAAGTGCCATAAGTGTCAATGACATACAAATTAGTCATCTATCTGTAAGCTTTGAAACAGGAACTTAAATTTTTCAATTTTAATAACAAAAAATGATTAAACCATGTAAAAAAATAATGTTTCAATTTAGTATTGTTGAAAACTCATCACATTCAACATTTACTCACTCACTCACTTAGATAGAGATGGGTTTTAGGAAAAATTATCATATAACTATAATCTGGTACAAGCTGGGATCTGTGGCCATGTCCCCTGCAACAGAAAAAAACCCTCTCATTTGGGACTGAGGTTTCTGGGACAGAGAGATATGACTTGGCCAAGGTTGACAGCAGTGGGTAACGTTGTGCATTGTCTTTCCCCCACTTGAGAGGACAAGCCATGAGTGAGATAGAGGTCTCTTTGCGGTACAAGTCAATGTCTGCATCAATCTAACAAGTGTGCTGTGTGCAGTCCCCATGACTGTTATTAGTCGTATTCCCCGACTTGTATTTCACCACAGTCTGGCAGTGCCTGCATACCGTTTTTTTTTTTTTTTTGTCTGTCACCTTTTCTCCTTTCTCGTATCTTTTTAGAGAGAAACCGAAATGCTTCCACACATCCGATTTAAAACCCGCTTTAGGTTCGATCATTTCCAGCTCTTTTTCATCCCTGCTTCTAGCAACACACTCCATTTCCGCATTACTGGATCTGTAGCGACAACAGACCACAAAGGATGATGGCCACGCCTGGGCTGATGGGAAGTGTAGTTTCCGCTACCACCCGTTCGCTTCATTCGCCTGAGCAAATTTTCTCAGAACACCTATAGTTTTATCGAGTCATGCAACTACGGTAATATTGAAAAAAATTACTATTGCGGTATTTACAATACCGTTACATCCCTACTCTATAGTAAAACTAAGGTGTCCAAATAGTGTATTTATCAACGCACCACACATGTATATCTGTCAATATCACAAAAATGTGTTTTAGCGTTTAATGACCATTTCATTTATTGCACTTCTCTGCGTTATTGCATATGCTATTATCACGATAATGATATTTTTCCGATATATTGTGCAACTCTTATTTGCATAAAGTTAATCTGTAAAAAAAACAATTTGAATATATGAACACCATACATTTATAAAGAGATGGTTCACCCAAAAATGACAGTCCTATCACCATTTACTCACCCTTTACTTACTTTCTTCTGTTAAACATAAAAGAAGATATTTTGAAGAATGTTGGGAACCTGTAACCATTGACTTTCATAGTATTTGTTTTTCCTACTATGGAAGACATGGGATACAGATTTTCAGCATTCTTCAAAATATCTTTTTTTGTGCTCAACACAAGAAAGGTTTGGAACTACTTGAAGGAGAGTAAGTATTGAGTAAACTTTAATTTATGGGGTAAACTATCCCTTAAGTTCATGCTGTAATCTTCTGACATCTGAAGTAACATCACTGGTGTGGATTTCTTCTTCTTCTGTGTTTCAGGTTTACTCAAACTCTGCTGCATCTTTTAAAAGGGAACATCGGCACAGGATTGCTCGGGCTTCCTCTAGCAGTGAAGAATGCTGGCATAGTGGTATGTATTAATAAACTAGGTCAAGGTTAACATCAGCATTTTCAATTCAATTCAGCTTTATTTGTATAGCACTTTTACAATATAGATTGCGTCAAAGCAGCTTCACATAGAAGATCATAGTAAATTGGCACATTGTAGTTCAGCTTTTAGTGTTTAAGTTTAGTTCAGTTTAGCTCAGTTCAGTGTGATTTAATAGTCACTACTGAGAGGCACACTTTAAGCTGTATAGAAGTGTCTTGAAAAATATCTAGTCAAATATTATTTACTGTCATCATGACAAATAAAATAAATCAGTTATTAGAAATGAGTTATTATGAGTTATATTTATGTTGAGAAATGTGTTAAAAAAATCTTCTCTTCGTTAAAAAGAAATTGGGCAAAAAATAAACAGGGGGTCTAATAATTCAGGGGGGTTAATAATTCTGACTTCAACTGTATATAGTCACTAATTTACTAATTAAAAATATATATTAAAATATTATTCAATAGTTTCCCAGTCATGGGTTGCAGCTGGAAAGGCATCCTCAGCCCAAAGTATCTAATTTAAAAAAGCCAAAAATACACAGCTCAAAGAAACATTTAAAATAAAACAGACACATATAGTCACTAATTTACTGATTTAAAAAATATTTAGATATTAATAAATAGTTACAGCTCATTTTATATTAAAATAAAGCTAATCCTCTGGTTTGAACGTTAATAAAAAAAACAACAAAGCATGAAAACTGACTCTCAAACTCTAAAAACCTGAAGCGCTTGAGGGGAATGTTAAATGTACAGTATGTGTTGTTTGCTAAAAATGCAATTCCAGCTTTCTTGCCTCATTATTAGTTAGTTTTGCCATCATATCCTGATGCTGACTGTTTAAAGTGAGTTGAAAAACCGGTCAGTCAGGTTTACAGGCTTAAACTGTACAGTATTGAGGCTGTGTTGTGTGCTCAGGGCTAGATTGCTGTTGGTTTGTAATAGCGTTAGTCCACAAACTTTACTGCCATCATAAAGACCTGTACAGTATGAAAGCAAAGTTCACAGTGAGTCAGAAAGAGAGCGATAAGACTTTACAGCTGTGGAAGATGTTAACTTTGGTCATTAAAAAACGATATTTGCTTTTAAAACTGTTTGTTAGTTTTGAGTTGGCATTAAAGGCATACTAACCTAAAAACTGTCCCCTCACAGTAAGAAGGTCGCTAGTTTGAGCACCAGCTGAGTCAGTTGGCATTTCTGTGTGGAGTTTGCATGTTCTCCCCGTGTTGGCATGGGTTTCCTCCGGGTGCTCCAGTTTCCCTCACTGTCCAAAAACATGCAGTATAAGTGAGTGAGTGTGTGAATGCGACAGAGTATGGGTGTTTCCCAGTACTGGGTTGCAGCTGGAAGGGCATTCGCTGTGTACTCTGTAATAGTTGGTGGTTCATTCCACTGTGGCGACGCCTAATAAATAAGGGACTAAGCCGAAGGAAAAGGAATGAATGAATCCTTTATGGGTTCCTTTTTTCCGTTGAATACAAAAGAAGATAATTTGAAGAATGTTTTTCGAAATATCTTCTTTTGTGTTCAATAGATGAAAGAAACAGGTTTGAAACAAGTGGTTGGTGAATAAATAATGACAGAATTTTACTTTGATAATTATAGTGAATGACAGAATTATCTCTTTAAATGAAAATTTAACGGTCTTTTATTCCAAATTGTACTAATAATAATAATAATTTCTTACATTTATATAGCGCTTTTCTGGGCACTCAAAGCGCTTTACACAATGAGGGGAATCTCCTCATCCACCACCAGTGTGCAGCATCCACCTGGATGACTCAACGGCAGCCATTTTTCGCCACACCACACACCAGACAGAGAGGAGACAGAGTGATAATATGCCAATTATGATATGGGGATGGTTAGGAGGCCATGATATACAGAGGCCAGTGAGCAGATTTGGCCAGGATGCCAGGGTTAAACCCCTACTCTTTTTCAAAGGGCATTTTTAACGACCACATGGAGTCGGGACCTCGGTTTAACGTCTCATCCAAAAGACGACGCTCACTAAGCATAGAGGCCCCGTCACTATACTGGGGCATTAGAACCCACACAGACCACAGGTTAAGCGCCCCCTGCAGGCCTCACTAACACCACTTCTGGCAGCAACCTAGCTTTCCCTTGTGGTCTCCCATCCAGGTACTGACCGGGCGCAGCCCTGCTTAGCTTCAGTGGGCGACCAAGTAAGAGTTGCAGAGAGCTAGCTGCCGGCTGAATAATCTGAATAATCAAGTGAAACTGCATCTGAAATATGAAAAATGTAGGACAGGTCTTGATTTTATCATTCAGGAATTGATTGGTTGGTCGTGGTCTGCTATTGGTGGATCTCATGTGATTAACGGGATGATTCCACCATTGTGACATCATATATAAATATAAAATATGTTATAGTAGAGGGAGAGAAAGGTATTTTGATTAAAGAATTAAAATGTGTTTGTGCAAAACTGATAACAGATAGTGTCTTAAAAACACATTTTACTGATCATGATTGTGTTGTTTTTCTTCCTCCAGTTGGGTCCGGTTAGTCTGGTTCTGATGGGTGTAGTGTGTGTCCACTGCATGCACATCCTGGTCAACTGCAGCCATCAGCTGAGTGAGCGGTAAGAATACACCAATCAAAGCCCTCCGCCTCAGTCTGCACAGCCAGTCACAATTCATCCACACCGAGATCATATTTTTAGGGGAGAAAAAAAAAGTGTACTTTTGCCAACTGTTTTCTCCCATTCACTGCGCTCTAAGGCCTCGTTTACTCTTAATACGTTTTAGTTTTAAAACGCATAAGTTCGGCTACGGTTACGCCATCCATCCACACCACGCTGTAGTTTTTGAGTGCAGAAAGCAAAGCATTTTGATAACGCTGGAGAGGCCATTTTCATTTTAAAACGTTGCTGCTCGGTGTCAGTGTGGATGGGGAAAAACGGAGACATCTGAAAACGGAGGCGTGGCTGCAGACATTCGCCTCTCTGATTGGGGCTTTTTACTCAATACTACGTAGACTACATACAATTCAGTCCTGCATCCTCTCCTAGTTCAGACTACGCAAGTTTGATATGGAAAACAGACTCTCGAGGACACGTCGGGTAAATCTTCAAAGGACACTGTACTTTATAACCTCATTCACATCACCCATATTTCACTTTCTTAACAATAAATTGAAAACATGATATGAGGAACTGCAGAATTTTATGTATTTATATTTTATATATTTATCCAAGTAACTTTTTATTGTAATACAAAATACTTTTTTATCATGTAATATCTTATGTATATCCATCTTGCCATGAAATAGACATAAGTTGCTAAAGTGGCAATAAATAAGTAATAAATAAACATGAAGAACTGCTTTTTTCATTTTGGTATTAGCAACTTAACAGACAGCAGAAATGTTGAGGCGTCTTGTGGCTGCATATTTATATGAGCGTCATCTTCACTGTGTGCATAGTTATAACAAAACGAAGCCTATAACATCACTGCCTCCTTTCATTTTCATTTAAATATGAAACATATCCTTTTTTTTTGCTGAATATCAGCTTTAATCTTCAGTAATGGCCATTATAAAAGTATAACGTACAATTAGTTTAAACATTATTGGAAATAAAGGCAAGCAATCAGTCAAATGTGCAGAATCACTTCACTTGGTTACATAAATTAATATATTCACTTATCTTTGCACTCAGCCAAAACGCATTACCTGAGAATAAGTAATAAATTCAAAAGTCCAAAGTGGGGGAATATGTCGTTAGATATACGCCCCTTTCACATAGCAATACCGGTAAATATATGGAAAATTTCCAGAACGACTTTACCGGTAAATTAAAAAAAGTGCTGTTCACACAGGCGAGGACGTTACGGAATTTTTCCTGAAAAGAGCATTCACACATCCATCGCAAAATACCGGTAAATTCTGACATCATTAACCAGAAATGACCTCTAAACGGCTGCGCTTGTATTTGTAAACATTTGACTACATTACAAACTCTGTGGATGGATCAGTGTTGTGAACAACTTCGAATATAAACATACAGAGAAACACTTTCACATGTCGAGATGTACATGATATGTGTGTGTGCTGGTGCTCACGGGCACACGCAAAGCTTGAAGGTAGACAAACAACGGCTTATCATAAGCATCTTATTGCTAATTATTCACATGGTTGGCATTAAGATGAACATATAAACGTTATCTGACTAACATCTAGCAGCTAAATGCGTCTGGAAAAATATTCAAAGGCTTTTATTTTCATAAACCACGCGGACGTGATTGCGTCTGACTGTTCTGATTGGCTAAAGCAGATGTCACATGTCAGCAGATTCTAAACGTGCACGCGCTCTTTCCGGCAATCTTCCTTCTGCATTCACACAGTGCAGCATTCCGGCAAATTACCGGCAATGTTACAACTTCTCTTTCCTGAAAATAGCCGGAATGAATTTACCGGTATTTTCAAAAAGGGCCTGTTCACACATACACACCTTTCCGGAAAATTGCTGGTAATTTTCCGAAAAGGTCACAGGTTTTAGACGCGATATGTGAACAGCCCCATACAGATTTACCCTTAGAGATGCAGTACAAGCACTGATCTAAAATAGATACCTGTTTACAAGCCATGCAGGGCGATTGCAACTTATAACACACAATTAAACCCATATTTTGCAAACTACACAAAACAAGGCAACAGTTTTGATCACACTTGCTTGTTATGATCCGGAGGAAGAAGAAACTGGTCCATTTCAACTGTAAAAGTTACTGACAAAGTCTCTGCTGCACTTCAATAGCAAACGGCCGACGAATCCCGCGCTGCAGCGTAGGCTATTGTATCAAAAATCTAAAAAATGACAGGAACAAGTGCGTCATCTTCGCATCATGATCAGTCCCGTGATCCCCGCACCTCTGCTTGTGTGTGGAGGGAAAATGCGTGCACATTATAACAGAACTGGAGTACATATTTGGTGATGTACCGTACCGTACGCCGATGCGATCAAACAAAAGATCCGAACCCAACTCGATTTGTTTACTGGATTTTGCAAAAGAATCAATAGTTTTAAACATGCTGCGCTTTTAGATTTAAACCTCAGGTGAATGTTTTCATTCATTTAGAGCTGTGTTACACACTGCATGAAGATCGTTTTCAAAAACTCATATTAATCATTACTATTGGAATGTGGAGACTTTCAACCAGCATAACAAAACATGTTTCTGAAGACAATCTTCTGTCCCACTTTATATTAAGTGTCCTTAACTACTATGTACTTACATCATAAAAGAAATACAATGTACTCACTGTGTTTATAATGTATTTGAGAACACTTGTGGTGCTTTTGAGTTGGGATAAGGTAAGGTAAGGTAAGGTAAGGTAAAACTTTATTGTCCCAGTTAGGGAAATTTGTCTTGGGCTCCTGCCCCCAGCCGCAGTCATCACAAACATGGACAAAACAATACAACATACAAAACACAAATAGATAGTTCAATAAAAGTTACAAGCCTCACTCCAACAACACTTAAATAAGCAAACTGAATACTCTTAATCTAATCTAAGCCACTTATTTAATATTATTTAATATTATTTAATAGCTAAATGCTCGTAGGATAAAAATAATTTTTATATCTGTTTAATCTACAGTAAGGTACTCTGAATCTTTTCCCCGAGGGTAACAACTCATATTCCTCATGCAGAACATGTGATACGTCACGAACAATTTGTTTAGCACACCTTAATGCCTCCTGTTCATACATATCCTGCAGTGACGTCAGCTCTGATACACCTATAATTTTCAGGCAGTGTGAATTAAACGAACTACTTTTGATCTCAGCTCCACAGACAAGTTGCCGAACCAAGCTGTAATGCCGTACCTTATCAAACTCTCACACACAGCCTTATAGAACATGATCATACATTCCTGATTCACTCCATAAATTCTTAGACGTCGTAAAAATTCAGTCGTTGCTGAAGCTTACAACAGAGATTATCAACATGTATATGCCATTTTAGTGAGTTATCGAAGAAGACACCAAGACATTTATATGAAGTGACCTGTGTGATGGTTTGAGTTTTGATGGTCACAGGCCTATGATCACCAATTCCTCTAGGGTCAAACACCATCTCTTTTGTCTTACTGACATTCAAATCTAGAAGATTGTCGTCGCACCAACTCGCATGGACAGTTATGGACAGGTTTGGTGGTATGGGTAGGTTGAAGGGTGGGTTAAGGTGTAAGGGATGGTCAACAGTGTATTTACAAATGTAATTACAAAAGTTAAATACAGATGTAATTACATACATGTATTTAATCAAGCATAAGTACACAGTAAATACATGTATTTACACAATAAGTACATTGTAACAAACTATTAATTCCTTTGTAAGTACTTATTAGTTAAAGCCACTTAATATAAAGTGGGACCCAATCTTCTACTGCATTTTTAATACTTAGCACTTTTTAATTTTGGGTGTTACTTTAATGGTTTGTATTTTAAACTTTAAAATGTCATTATTAGCTTTTCATCGTCTTGCAAACCCATTTTGGGAAGCCCTGCAATGACTTGTCTCCCATTCCTTAGTTTCTCTCCCGAAGAACTTTCAGTAATTCTTATCTTCACCAGGTTAATAGACAGAAATAATCCTCAAATTCTCATTGAACCTAAAGCAGGTGTTCATCTAAAGAGCAAGCCGACAGCTGGCCGACATCAGGCCATCATCATCAGCTTGGGTTTTGTGGTTTGTTTCACACCGTCGGTACTACTGAGAGCCTGCTGGGGGGTTTTTGTATGCATGTCGAGTCTCCGTCGCTGAGAGAGATCGCTCTGATTGGCTCGTCCTGTGAACGAGAATAAAAACAAAAGTGATGAAATCGAGCAGAGAATTTTAGACACCACACAGACAGAAGGCTGCTCTAATGTTCTGCCGTATTACCTGATCATTTCAATCTGTGAATATTTTTTTATAATAACACCAGCCATCTGGAATGAGGGTGATGATTCATATTCTGAATAGCAAGCGGCGGCTGCTTTGTTTATGGGTCATACATCTGCACTCCTAGTTTGGGTTTACTGTTTGATTGATGATTATAGTGAAACTAAAACTGGATTGTTGAATCTGATGTCTTCACGTTTTCATGATCTGTCGGATGACAGAAGCGAACAAAAAATGCTGCTAATAAACGCACACAATGTGCTGTAGTATTATTGAAAGTCATGATTGTAATGTTTATATCCATGCTTGATCTCAGACGCTCCAAGACGGTGATTCATCTTTTCCAAAGCATTCAAATATTGATTTATGTGATGCAGCAATGTGTCATATGACTGAACCGTAGCTGTAAATTTCTACTTTCTGAAAAAAAAAATCTAATAACTGTACACTACCTGACAAAAGTCTTGCCGCCTATCCCAAGGTTTAGGAATAGCCCATAATAACTTGACTTCTAGTTGATCATTTGGTATCAGAAGTGGCTTATATGAAAGGCAAAGGCCTCTAGATTACGCTTATTTTACCAAAATAAAATATGATCAGGCCTTGATTTTTAATTATTTAATTAGGACAGTAAGGTCTCACTTTGATTGGACAAAAATCTTGTCACTTAACAGAAATAATGTACAGTATAGA